GAGAAAGACAAATACCATACAATTTCGCTCATATGTGGAACTTAAGAAACAAAACGAATGAGCAAAGGGAAAAAGACAAATGAGACTTAATTATAGAGAAGAGACGGATGGGTAGCAGAGGGGAGGTAGGGGGTGAAACAGGTGACGGGTACTAAGGAGGGCACGGGTGATGAGCACTGGATGTTGTATGGAAGTGTTGAATCACTATATGGTACACCTGAAACTAATATTACACCGTATGTTAACTAACTGGAATTTAAATAGAAACTTTGAAAAAAGAAAAAGAAAAAAACCGTGCTCCTAAATGAAACCAAGGAAGAGACCGCAAGCTACTAAAACAATGAAAACTTTGTATACAACCTGTGGGATATGGAAAACTTTTTTAAAACTTTTTTATATTTTATTTATTTTTGAGAGAGAGAGAGAGAGAGAGAGAGAGCATGAGCAAGGGAGGGTCAGAGAGAGAGGGAGACACAGAATCCGAAACAGGTTCCAGGCTCTGAGTTAGTTGTCAGCACAGAGCCCGATGCGGGGCTTGAACCCACAAACTGTGAGATCCCAACCTGAGCCAAAGTCGGATGCTTAACCAACTGAGCCATCCAGGCGCCCTGGGAAACTTGTTTTCAGAGAAAAACATATAGCTTTAAATGGCTTCACTATTAAAAACAAAGGACAAAAAATAATATTATTTTCCCTGAGATATTAGAAGAGATACAGCACCATAAGCCAAAAGAAACTAAGAGATCGTTCATAAAGATAAAACCTAAAAATCACTCAAATATTCAAAAATAATTGGGAAGAGCAAAGAAACTTAGAAGCTCTTCTTTGAAAAGACCATCACCAACCACAAAATAGACAAATCCCTTGCAAACCTGCTTATGGAGAAAAGATAAACAGCAGAGATCTAGGAATTTAAGGAAAAGAGAGGGCCCATAACTATAGATAAGGTGAAGTAAAAGAATCCTGAGAGAATGTTCTATGCAATACAGTGGCAACAGAATTGAAAAGATAAAGGAAGTGATTAGGTAGAGAGATACAAAATTATTTAAAAACTTTTTTTACACTTATTTATTTTAGAGAGACAGAGCACAAGTGGGTGAGGGGCAGAGAGACAGGGAGACTCAGAACCGGAAGCACACTCCAGGCTCTGAGCTGTCAGCACAGAGCCTGACGTGGGGCTCGAGTCAGGCGCTTAGCCGACTGAGCTACCCAGGAGCCCCAGATATAATATTATTAAATCTGACTACAAAAAAAGTTGCAACTTGATTTGACTAATTATCACAGTAAAGCCTGAAGAGGTGTAAAGATATTGCAAATGTCACTTGGACCAAATCGGTTCATAAATGAGTCTTATCAAACTTTTAAACAAGAGATCATTCTAATTATAATTTTGGTATTATTGGTAAAAGAAAAAGATGGAGCACTCAGCAATTCATCTGATAAAGCTAATACAATTTTAACAACAAAACCTAAGAATAGTGAACAGTGAAACTACACATCAGCATCGCAGAACAAAGGCATCCAGGGGGCGACCTCTGCAGCCCAACCCCCCCCCCCCCCCCCCCCGCCATCAGCTGAGCTATCAAACGGTGTTGTAAAGGCACACACTATGTAGAAAAATATTAGCTCAATGTATTAAAAAATAAAATTTAGACGATGCTAGATGCTGACGTCATTTCTAATTTTTTTTAATGTTTTTATTTATTTCTAGGAGAGAGAGAGACAGCGTGAGCAGGGGAGGGTCAGCGAGAGAGGGAGTCACAGACATGAAGCAGGCTCCAGGCTCCGAGCTGGCAGTCAGCACAGAGCCCGACGCGGGGCTCGAACCCACGAACCGCGAGATCGTGACCTAAGCGAAAGTCGGACGCTTAACCGACTAAGCCACCCAGGCGCCCCAGATGCTGATGTCATTTCTAATACAAATTTTATGGCAAACTGGAATTAGAAGTAACAGAGACCATTTATCCAAAACAAACGGCAAATTTACTCCGAACAGCAAACCGTTAAGACTATTTCATGTAAAATCATGGAGTAGTGCTTTCATTACTAATATTTAACATTTTCTTGTATTTTCTAATAAATTAAAGAAGATTAAAAAAAGAATTGGCTATAAACATTGGAATAGAGCTATAATCTGTCTCATTTTGCTCATTTTAGATAAGATTCAATACTCTAGCGTAAAATTACTAGAAGTAATAAGAGAATTCTCTAAGGTAGCTAGATTCAAGGTGAATATAAACAATCAGATAGAAAGGTGACTTTTTATATGCCCTTCTGGTCCAGGATTATAACCAAAGGGATATCAGGGTCACCAAGAATAATTTGGAGGTTGCCAAGGACTTGTTTTAAAGTGTTTTCAAGTCTGACCAAGAACTCTGACATTTGGGAAAAGGGAAAAAAAATGAAACCGCTTTTCTCTATTCTGGTACTAAACATCAAGAAGTAGATCTAGGAAAAAACATTTTATTAACAATAGCAACACACTTACCAAATGCACAGAGATAACTGTAATAACAAATTGCTTCTATTTATTACATTAGCAAAATTAATGTAGAAGTTTAATAACATTTTAATTAAAATCACAACAGGACTTGGCTCTTTTTAACTGGAAAAATGTTTAACATTTTTTATATGGAGGAATAAAATGCATAAGAAATGCTAGGAAAGGTAAAAAAAAAAAAAAAGCGAGGATGGAATCCATTTACCAGCTATTAGAAGATTTGGCATTTTAGTCTTCCATTGTAAACAAATTGGTATGGTATTGGCATAACAAGATCAAAGTTAGTTCAATGCATCCAGAAATAGGCATTTTATTATTTGATAAATTGTGCCTCTGCAATAGGCTACTGATTTGGATGGAAAGAAAACTAGACAGATCTTGCCTCTATATCACATAGAAATATAAATATCACGTAAAACGACGCCATGGATATAAAAAGCAAAACAATAAAAGTCTTGCAAGAAAGTCCAGGAGAATACGGATACAACCTTGATGTACAGAAACCATTTTTAACCAACACTGGGCACTCTGAAGATATGAAAAAAAGGTAGATACATTTGACTATAAATTTTTAAAAGTTTTGTTAAAAGTCATAAACAAAGTCAGTAGACAATAGGTCTCGGCGGAAATCACTCTGTACACTAGTATCTTAATGCACTAGAACAAAGGGTTAATACTTGTGATAATAAAAGGGCTTTCATAATTAAAAAAAATAAAAGAGCAAGAAGAAAAATGGGCAAAACATAGAATAGTCGAATCTCAAAATATAAGTGCGTGAGCCAACAGGCACTTGAAAAGACATACAACCTAATAAAGAAAAGGAGTGCAATTAAAGTCATGATGTAGTATTACTATACCGAGATTGGCAAAAAATTAAAAAACAACATAAAACTTATTGACATGAAAGCTGGGAGAAGGGCACTTCATAGTAGAAATGTATGAAGAGTTCTGGCCTTTCTGGAAGTTAAAACCAAATAGAAAATATTCCCTCATTCCAGTAATATATTCCTCTCGACAATGAGTCCCAGAAGAGTAAAAGCACCAGTGTGTAATGACACAGGACCTAATGACCAAAAAATGGAAATAATATGGAACTTATGTGGTCACTAAAAAGCATGAACTGAAGCTCTGCCAATTTACTTAGATAGAATTGTACTGGGTGTTAATGAGAGAGTGAAGTGTGTGTAATACCCAATTCTTATAAAATAAACACTGACCAAGAAAACCTTTATTTGCATATATACGTGTATGTGTGTGTGCACGAGTATATATTATCACCTTAGGGTTATCTGGTTGGGAACAGGCAACGGGGCTAATGTAGAAGGAGGGTGGGGAGCCAAACAGAAAGGACAAAAAAGACTATAAAGTACATGTGACATGATCACATTTAATATTTACAGTGCCAAACCATGAGAGACTCTTGAATGCTGACAAAAACTGAGGACTGATGGGTGGGGGGGGGAGGGGGCATGGGCATGGAGGAGGGCACTCGTGGGGATGAGCACTGGGTGTTATGTGGAAGCTAATTTGACAATAAACTATTTGTAAAAAAAAAAAAATTTACAGTGCCATTATAGACGTATTGGGGTTAAATCTTTATAATACACATTTAAAGAAAACAAAACAAAATTTAAAATAAGTGATTTCAGCACTCAACTCAATAAGTAATAAATAGCTCAGCAAAATGAACCAGAGGAAATTAGGAAGAAGGAATGAATTCATGAAAGTAAAAGCAGAAATTGATAGAAGCAAAAGATGTTTCCTGACAAGATCCGTACAACTGAGAAACTTTCCGGAAATACTATTTTTACGAGAGGGAAAGAGCACGTACACAGTATAAGAATGAAAAAGGAGACAGAATGACAGACACAGAGCAGTTGAAAACATCACAAGACTGTTATGTGACTCGACACCAATACATTACAAATTTAGGGATGACAGATTGTTTTCTAGGAAAATATATACAACCAACCAAATTTGACTGAAGACGAGGCAGAGAAATCTGAATAAATCAATGATCACAGATGCTGTTGAAAAAATTATTTCATACTCGTCTCCCCAAATGCACTGCAACCCAAAAAGCTGAAAAGCTTCTGAACTCATGGCTAATCCTTAAACGAAACCTGGGCCAAGAGATCAAAACCACAGCACCCCCACACAGAAGCACAGACTGACAGGATCTCATGGCTCTGGGCCTCTGGATGGAGGCTTGGGGGTTGGCTGGGGGAAGTTGTGTTCTCTCTGGGGCTCCTTGCCTCTTTGCTCCCCCTCCAGTCTGCGGTCTGGTTTCCAAAGTGGCAGCATGTGACAAAGAGACACAACGGGCAAAACAGAACAACATATCAGCGAGTAGTTCAGATCTGGGAAAAGGACTGGCGCTCAGCATGTTTCACATCACCTATGACACAGCATGACAGCTGTCCTAGACGGGTGCCTGCGCTTTCCTCTGACCACCCACGTCCTCCCAATCCCGACCGGACCCTGTAGAACACGCCATTACCTTCTGTGCACGTGCAGCTCACTGAGCAGTTCACTTTGCATGTAGTCCCAGGACAGTTCCACTGCGCCCAGGTAGTATTTTCTGGTGGTGCTGAAGCTGAATGGCAGAAGGCACAGAAAGAAGCAGGTGGAGAGTTCCATTTCCATGGCTCGTATTGCTAGAAAATGTTCAAGTGGAGCAACGAAAGATTAATTCTTCTCTCAAATACCTTCCGCTCCCAGGAGGCAAAAAGGTAAATGTTCTATGATTTAGAGGAAAGCCCCACAATCTCTGCTGCGGATTTTAGGGAACTTTACCTGCTGGATGTTACAGCAGCACTAGCAGTAAGCAGTAACAGATAAGATCGCTTCCTTTTTGGCAGTGGGAAGCAGCCACAGGAAGAAGGAATAGGAAAAGGGAGGCTGAGCTAAATCTTAACCCATTCATTTCTGAGAGCGCTAGGGACACAGGAACGCTGCTGTAGTAGAAAGAACCCTTGCGGAAAGGAAGAGAGGGACAGAGAGGTGAAGGTGAAGAGGAGCTTTAATTTGTATTCCTATTACTGCCTACTCCGGCCTTCTTCCTTAGCAGCAGGTGCAAGAAGAGAAGGTCTGGATGTTGGTGGAAATTCTGGAGTCTGCTTGCACAAACACGAGTAACCAGTCTTCTAGTAGTCTCCCTGTTTCTGCCCTTACCCCTCACACAGCTGCCACCAAGTGACTTTTTAAAACTATAAAGCAGGGGCGCCTGGGCGGCTCAGTCAGTTAAGCGTTCGACTCTTGATTTCAGCTCAGGTCATGGTCTCAGGGGTCATGAGTTCAAGCCCCATGTGGGGCTCTGTGCTGGCAACATGATCCGCATGTCCGCTTCCTTGAGACCTCTTGTGGCCTCATATCACTATGGTTACTGGCCTTCTTGCTCTTCCTTAAAACACAAAGTACACTCTTGCACCTACATCTTAGCACTTGCTATTTTCTCTACTTAAAACACCTTTCCCCCAGATCTCCACCCAGTTCCACTTCCATATTTTCTTCAAGTTTTGGCTCAAATCTTGCCTTCTCAGTGAGGTTAAATACGGCCCACCACATTTCCGGTATGAGTTCTGTACCCCCACCAGCACCTCAGTGTTGTAGATAGCAGTCATAACCAGCCAGCACTCATGTATTTATTTATCTTGCAGTGTTGTTACCTGCTGCTTCTCAAGTTTGTTTGCATTGAGGTATAGGATACATCTCCTGACATGAAAATGTAGTGGGGCTGAGCTCAAGCAGAGACCCTGCTCAGGTTAATGTTTACATGGGGCAGGCGGGAGGGCCTCAGCGTATAGGAGACGACAGGAAGAAACCTGCCCAGCATCGCTAGAAGAAATATTATCACTGAAAGTCCAGTTCTGCACAGGTACGAATGTGCCTGTGAGCAACCGGTGGGGTGTTGTCCAGCCCGGAAAGAAGAACCCCCTTTGGTAAACATTTGCTGAGACCTTCTCTCTATTGGGCACCAAGATGCAGACATAATAGCTGGCGTGTACTAGACGCCAGGAACTTTTCTAAGTTATTTCAGTGTGGCCTGATATTGTCTTCATTTTATAGGTGATGAAACTGAAGCACAGAGAGGTTAGGCAACTTGGCCAAGGTCACACATTTTGCAAGTGCTAGCATTCCGACCCATGTAATCAAACTCCATAAGTCACGCTGCAAAGTCCTACGCTATACTTCCATGCACCAGGTACAGAGCGTTGAAAATATCAACTACTGATAGAAGCAATACATATGCCACAGGAGTACGTTAGAAGGTGAACTAAGTGTCTTGCCCAGAAGGAAAGTAAGCAGAGGAAGAGAAAAGAGGGGTGTACCAGGTTGCAACTTTAAATGGGCATGGTCACTGAAAGTGTCACCGAGATTACAATTAGGCAAAGGGAGCTGGCTTCTGCGCTGAGGGCAATAGGGCGCCATGCTAGGGTTCTGAATGGAGGGAGGCTGTGATCAGAATTATCTTTCAGACTCATCTTTCCGGACCTGTCAACTGCGGGCCAGAAATGACTGTGACTTGGGCTAAGACGGTAGCAGTGGAGGGTGAGAAATGGCTGGATTTGCTGTGAAGCGCTATTGATGGGGGCTGCTGCTGAACTGGATTTGTGGTGCCGAGAGAGGAGCTCAGAATTAGCACCGATTTTCGGTACGTGCAAATGGCCACTAACGAGGCTAGGACAGGGTGCGAGCGAGGGGAGTAGCTTGGGGCGGGATGGGGACACATGCTTAAAGGGCTCCACGGGCACTGCAGGCAGGGAAGCTCTTCTTCCCAAGAGCTTCTCCGTAAGATCGCAACAATTTTTTTAAAATGTCTTTCTACACTGGAACGGAGTCGGGCACAGAGCAAGCGATGATAAGCATGTGCTCGACGCTTCCATGAACTAACAGCACGAGGCAGCGTTATGTTTAATAAAGTAATGGGGAAAACAGGCCTTACTAGGGAAGGGCCAGACCGCGGGCGCTTCCCGGGAATCTTGCGGCGGGGCACCTCCCTGCGGGAAGGCTTTCCGCGCACGCGCTGTCGGCGCACCTGCAGGGCGGGGCCGCAGAGCCTTGTGACGCCGCCTGGCGCGCGGGCGGGGAGCCACCTCTGGGCGCGCCGCCCGGCCTCTTCCGCTGCCGCCGTGGGAATGGAAACATCTGGCCCACGTACCGGAAGCTCGCTCGCGGCGGCGACGGCGGTGTGCCACTCCGTGTCCTATCGCGCCGAACCCCTGCGGCTGTCATCGCGAGACGAGCTCGCCGAAATGGCCGCTTCCAGTCAAGGTAAGGGCGGGCGCGCGCACCCGCAGACGCCGCGCGGAGCCGCGTTTCTGGGTCCCGGAAGGGGAAGGGCCGCGCGCCGGCGGGTCTCGGCACAGCTCCCCCCCGGAGTCCCGGCCGCAGGCGGCCGGAGAGGGCGCCCGGGACTCGCCCCTGGCCCGGCCGCTCCCAGGCTCCGGCCAAGGTCAGGCGCCCGGCTGGGACCGAACCGCCCCGAGTCGTTGTCTCCGGTTGGGCTCGCTCAGCCTTCCTGCGCCTGAGGCGGGAGACATTCCGTCCTTGTTCTCGGAAGCGCTCTGGCGCTTTCGGACCGAGGCGGCGGCTTTGTCGCTTTGCACGTTCGTCCCCAGCACTTGGCAAGCTTCTTTCTGTGCGTAGGGAGCTTCCTCTTGCGCTTTTAACGGCTTCCAAAGAGTAGTACACGTCGGATTGTACTTGGAGGTCGTTTTTTATTGAGGCCGCGTAGTCCACGGAAGATGCCCCGTGATAAAATACACACAGGAACAGTACTTTAAGTCATGCTTCTTCCCCGACTAATCCTGCTTCAGGTTATATTTAGTTCATTACTTGTTCACCGTATCCTGTTGCTGAAGAGGGCCATCATCGAAAACACAATTATGTAAACCCCAAATTACATAAATTCTGTTAAAAACAAAAGCAGTGAAGATATTCAGAATTGGTCACTTTTAAATTATTTGTTATGTTTTAATGTTATCTGTGCTCTTGAGGTTATTCCCGTGTATAGTGTCTCTGAGATGGAAACAACAGTAAGGTATGCTGCTGTGCGTCTCTTTCCAACCCTGAGTTCCGTGAGATCACACCCACGGGGGGGGGGGAGGTGACTACATCGTGGAAACTGATGTACATTGCAGATCACCCCCAGCCAGTTGGTAAACACTGACCAGCACCCCACCAAATCTAAGTGACTTAGGGGTTCGAATGAACAATGTAATTATTTTCCTACAGGGTAGACTGCCCTCATTCACTTAAAATAGATAGATTCGGGACCCATTTTGACTGGACCCTCCCTATTCAGCTGATGGGCTTTGGTAAAGTTACATTGAAACAAAACTCAAAACGTAGTCTTGATTTCACTGATACTCTTTAACCCAGGGAAAGAATTTCTTCAGTACAGCAGGAATGTTTTACTGTTGTGTTGTATTGGTGTCCAATGTCACACTAGAAAAATAATTTTCAGGGCCACCTGGGTGGCTCACTCAGCTAATCATCTAACTTCGGCTCAGGTCATGATCTCACGGTTGTGGGTTCGAGCCCTGCATCAGGCTCTGTGCTAACAGCTCAGAGCCTGCAGCCTGCTTTGGATTCTGGGTCTCCCTCTCTTCTTTGCCCTCCCCTGGTCACACTGTGTGTCTCTCTCAAAAAGAAATAAACATCGAAAAGAAATCTAAAACAAACAAACAAACACACTCTTCCCACTCAGCGATGGGATCTATGTATTCCCTCTTGAATCTGCGTAGGATTTTGTGACTGCTTCTACAGAATGTGATGGAAGTAATGCTGCATGACTTCTGGGGCTACGTCTTAAATGGTTATCATTGCATCTGCCTGGCCCTCGGCTCCCTCACTCCATTGCTCTCTCACTACTTCCCTTGTGCTGCCCACCCTTGAGGCTAGGCACCATGCTGTAAGGAAGCCCAAATTAACCTACGTAGAGAAGTAGCCTGTGTCTGTCACTGTAGGAGATGATTCCAGACCTTCTGCCGGTAAGCCTTCCAGCGGAATCCTCACACATGGTGTAACAGGGATAAACTGTAACGCTGTATGTATCCCATTTAAATCCTGACCCACAGCGTCTAAGAGCATAATAAATGATTCTTCAGCTCCATGAAGCTTTGGCATAATTTCCCTTACTAACTGGAAGACGTACTCAAGGAAGTCCTTTGCACCTCCATGTACATTTTAGAACCAGCTTGTCAATTTCTAGGTAAAAACCTGCCTTTTGACTGGGATTGCGTTGAGTCTATACACTGATATGGAGAGAATGAACACCATAAAAATATTGCCTTGCAAAACATAGTATATATCCAATTAATTTCAATCATCTTCACGTTTTCTCTGCAGTGTTTTGTTCTTTACAGTGCAAAGCTCTTGGGCATATTGATTAAATTTATCCCTGCATTATCTTCTCACAGAGAAAGGGATTAGACATTTTGTTAACTCTTTTTCTTTCTTGGGCAAATCACTTAACCTCTGAGCCTCCGTTTCTCTTTTTTTTTTTTTTTTAATGTTTGTTTATTTTGAGAGAGAGTGAGCAAGCAAGCGAAGAAGCGCACACGCACAAGCAGGGGAGGGGCAGAGAGAGGGAGAGATTTTCTCCCAAGCAGGCTCTGCGTTGTCAGCACAGAGCCCAGTGTGGGGCTCTGTCTCAGGAACAGTGAGATCATGACCTGAACCAAAATCAAGAGGCAGACACTTAACCAACTGAGCCACCCCTGAGCCTCCATTTCTTGATTAGAAAGTGGAGTTAATAAATAGTACCTTTTTTTTTTGTACCTACTATGTTCCTGGGATTTAATTAGAAATTCGTGTTTGTTGCTTAGCGTATTGCCTAGTAAAAGTCAATAAAACATTACCTTTTATTTTTGTTATCAATGGAGAGTCATATGGTAGGAAGAATTTGTGAATCTGTGGGCTACTGAATAGCATTGAGTGACTTCAAAAAGGAGAGGCAGGGGTACCTGGTTGGCTCAGTTAAGTGTCTGACTTCATCATGATCTCACAGTTCTTGAGTTCAAGCCCTACATCAGGCTCTGTGCTAGACAGCTCAGAGTCAGGAGCCTGCTTTATGTTCTGTGTCTCTCTCTCTCTCTCTGCCCCTCTCCCACTCACACTGTGTCTCTCTCTCAAACATTAAAATGAGAGGCAAATGAAAAAATCCATTTCATTTAGGATATTGATTAGTACTAGCAGGCTTTTGTAGGTACTTTGCTTGTTTTTAAATTCAAGAGGAAAAATTAGGACACTAATTCTAAATTGTCTAGTTTCTTTTTCTCTAAGGCAGATATTGTTTGTTGATTTTATTCTGATTTTCAAAAATTGCTATCCACAACTTCAGAATTAATTTACTAAGTAAAATAGAATAATATTTGGAGATTCTTATTACAATAACTGTTTCTTAAAAATCTCTTAATCTAGCTAAGAATTGTGATTTATTGTAAAAGTAAGTATTTGCATATTCAGTGTCTTAATTCTTGTAGGAAACTTTGAGAGAAATTTTGAATCACTGGACCTTGCGGAATTTGCTAAAAAGCAGCCATGGTGGCGCAAGCTGTTTGGGCAGGAATCTGGGCCCTCGGCTGAAAAATACAGCGTGGCGACACAGCTATTAATCGGAGGTGTCACAGGATGGTAAGTGATATAAAAGATATCCAGTATCATCTTTTGCATGGTTTAGTGTATTGCACGTGTAGGAACCACCTCCTTAACCAGTGAAAACACATGGACTTTTGTGAAATTGATCACTTATCGTGTAGCGTTCAGCTACACACGTGAGTATTTATTACAGGCCACGCACTATTTTGAGGATTTATATATTTCATTTTCTTTTCACAACTGTGAAGTTGGTACTGGTGTTATCTATCCTCATTTTTCTTCCAGTTTTGTCAAGAAATGAATATGTATCACTGGGTAAGTTTAAGGTATATAGCCTGGTGGCTTCATTTATACCTATTGTCATATGGTTGCCAAAACAGGTTCAGTGAACATTCATCACCTCATATACATAGAATAAAAAGAAGAAAAGACTTTCTCCTTGTGCTGAGAACTCTCAGGATCTACTCTCATAAGCATTTTCTTTTGCCCCACAGCAGCATTAGCTATAGTCATTGCATTGTACCCATCCCTCATACTTATTTGTAACTGCAACTTTGTGCCTTTTGACCACCTTCATCTAGTTCCCCCTCGCCCAGCCCCCTGTAACCACAAATCTGATGTCTTTTTCTATGAGTTTTGTGTTTATTTTAGATTGTACATATAAGGGATTGCACCTGGGACAGCTGGGTGGCTCAATTGGTTAAGCTTCCGACTTTGGCTCAGGTCATGGTCTCACGGTTTGTGACTTTGAGCGCCGTGTCAGGCTCTGTGCTGACAGCTCAGAGCCTGGAGCCTGCTTTGGATTCTGTGTCTCCCTCTCTCTATGCCCCTCTCTGACTCATGCTCGCTCTCTTTCTCTCTTGCTCTCAAAAATAGATAGACATTAAAAAAATTAAAATTTTTAAATAAGGGATTGCACATATAAGATCAAACATATAAGTGAGATCATACAGTATTTTTCTTTATTTGACTAACTTATCTCACTCAGCATCATGTCCTGAAGGTGAATCCATGTTGTCACAAATGATAGGATTCCCCCCTTTTTTATGGGGCTGAATAATATTCCTCTGTGTGTGTGTGTGTGAGTGGAAATCTCTATAGATAGATTGATCGATTATATCTCACATGTTTATTCATCCCACTGATCAACACTTAGGTTGTTTCCATGTCCTGGCTATTGTAAACAGTGCTGCATGAACGTGGGGGTGCAGATATCTTTTTAAGTTCGTGTTTTAATTTCCCTTAGATAGATTTCCAGAAATGGAATTGCTGGATCATATGGCAGTTCTGTTTTTAATTTTGGGAGGCACCTCCGTATTGTTTTCCACACAGCTGTACCAGTTTACAGCCCTGTCAGCAGTACAGAAGGGTTCGTCTTCTACGCACTGAGAAGTGGAGAGTACAACAGCTCTGAAATTGGTACTGTGACCATTCCTCGTTTTATGGGGACTAAGGCTTAGAAGGTGCAGGGCCTCAGAGCTAGAAAGTGGTATATATAGTAAGGAGTTAGCCACTTGTTTCTTAGCTGGGTAGATGATAACATTCTTAATGCGTAACAGCGTATGGCTGTATTTGTGATAAACTCAACAAGTTTAATAGATTTAGTCAAGAAAATATAATGCATCACTCTCATCTCTCCATTTTACATTTAAAATCTTATTGTACAACATAATATATAGAACAGTGCGTATGATGTGTGTACGATTTAATGAATATGTATGGAGTGGACAGCTATGTAACAGCTACTCAGGTTGAAAACGTGGCCAGCGCCCCAAAAGCTCTAGAGATGAGTGCCGTCCTGATCACTAGGCAGTCACCTCCTTGCTTTTCTTTGTACTTTAAAAGCAATTCGATCCATAAATAATATACTGTCGTTGACTTGCTTTTGAACTTTAAATAAATGCAATCATGCGTATACTTTTGAGTCTTACCTTTTTTCCTAACCTATTTTGTATACACAGCCACGCGTGTAGTTGTAGTTTCTTTGTTTTCCTTGGTATTTACAATTCCGTCGCATGAGTATACATACCACAGTGTTCGTATCCAGGTGATGACTGACATTTGGGTTGGCTCAGTTTTTGGCTAATTTAAACACTGCCGGTATGAACTCTGTATACATTTCCTGGTCCATACACATGCACATTTTTGTAGGGTCTAGACCCAGGAGTTGAATTGCTAGGTCATGAAGTTTAAGTATCTACAGCTTTGCCAGATAGTGTCAAACTGATATTTGATTTGAAAAACCACTTTCCATTAGTGACCGTAACTGTTCACCCTGCCCACACAAGGGCTGATGTTCCTGACGCTGTACATTGTTGTGAGCACTGGGTATTGCCTGGGGGAAAGTTTTGGTGGTCTGATGGTGGCATCTCGCATGGTTTTCATTTGCATTTCCCTGAGTATTCCTGGAATTGAACAGCTTTTACATGTGTTTCCTGATCCTTCTGGATCTCGTCTTTGATAAAGTCTCAGTTTTAATCTTTTGTAATTCATTAAGTTGTCATTCTTTTTCTTATTGAGTTATAAGCATTCTTTATATATTCTGAATATGAGTCCTTTATTGGTTGTACATTTTGCAGCTATTTTTACTCATTCTGCATTTTGTGATTGTCTTTTCATATGCCTTTTGGTATCTTTTTTTTTTTGATGAATATATGCTGCTTTCAATGTAGTCAGTTTTATCAATCTTTACCTTAATGGTTAGTAATTTTTATGTCCTGTTTAAGTAATTTTTTTTTTTTTTTGCCTACCCCATACACTTGAACTTTATTGTTTTGCCTTTCACATTTACATTTATAAATCCACCTGGGATTGTTTTCTGTGTTTTGTATGTTCTGCCACAATCATAATGAACACATCTGTCACTCTAAAAATGTCTATGTCACTATAGATTACTTTGCATTCTTCTAGAATTATATATAAGTGTAATTATACAGTGTGTGTTCTTGTCTGGCTGCTTTCTTGTGCTCAGCATGTTAATTTGGAAGTTCATCTGTGGTGCTTTTTCAAAATCAGTACTTTATTACTTTTTATTGCTAACTAGTAGTCCGTTGTGTGGATGAATCATTTTGTTTATCCATTTGCCTTTGATGGATATTGGCTTGTTTCCACTTTGGGGCTAAAACCGCTATGAACATTTATGTACAAGTCGGTGTGAATGTAAGCTTTCGTTTCTTTTGGGTAAATATCTAGTATGGCTGGGGATTATAGGTGGAATGCTTTAACTTCTTAACTTGTCATACAATTTTCTAAGGTGCTTGTACTAGCTTACACTTCTACCAGCCTAACACTTTGGCAGTGTGTCTTTTTAATTACAACCATCCTGGTTTGTGGAGAGTGGTATCTCGTGGTTTTATTTTGCATTTCCCTAATGGTTAATGACGTTAGCATCTTTTCATGGGCTTATTTTTGCCATTCATATATCTTTGATGAGGTATCTGTTCAAATCTTTTCTCAATATTTTTATCGGGATGTTGATTTTCTGAGACTTCTTTATATACTCCAGATACAAGTTTTATACCAGATATGTGATTTGCAAATATATGCTTCTAGTCTATAGCGTTTTATTATCTTTTTTTAATGTTGTATTTATTTCTGAGAGAGAGAGAGGGAGGCGGCATGAGCAGGGGAGGGTCAGAGAGAGAGGGAGATATAGAATCTGAAACAGGCTCCAGGCTCTGAGCTGTCAGCACAGAGCCCAATGTGGGGCTCGAACCCCCGAACCGTGAGATCATGACCTGAGCTGAAGTCGGATGCTCAACCGACTGAGCCACCCAGGCGTCCCACTATAGCGTTTTATTATCTTAACAGTAAAGAACAGAAGCTCTCAACCTTGAAATGTAATTTATCGGCTCTTTCTTTTATACCTGTAGCTTTTGGTGTCATGTCTGAGACTATGTTCCTAACCCAGGATCACCAAGATTTTCTTCTCTGTTCTCTTCTAGATGATATATAGGTTTAGATTTTTCATTTAGGTCCAGGATCCATTGATACATTTTGATTTGCTTTTTGTTTATGTTGCAAGGTAGGAATCTAAGTTCTTTAGTTGCATATGATATGTAATTGTGCCCACACGGTTTGATGACTAGACTACACTTCTCTACGCTGATTTGCTTTTGCACCTGTGTCAAAAATTAATTAACTATGTCTATTTCTGAACTTCTTTTTTAGATTTTATTTTTAAGTAATCTTTATCCCCAACATGGGGCTTGAACTCATGACTCCGAGATCAAGAGTCACATGCTCTTCGAACTGAGCCAGTCAGGCACCCCTGTTTCTAAACTCTTTGTTAGGTTGGTTTGTCGATGTTTGTGCTAGTAGCACCTGTTTTGATCACTATAACTTTATAAGAGGTCATGAAATCAGATCGTATAAGTCTTGCAACGTTGTTTTTCTAAGTTGATCTGACTTCTGAGTACACAGAATTTTCATATGAATTGTAGAATAAACCTGCTGCCAATTACAAAAAGCCTGATAAGATTGTGACTGGGATTGCATTGATCCATAGACATGGTTTTTTGACTGGTTTGGATTTCTTTTCATTTCTCTCAGCGATGCGATGCTTTGTAGGCCTTGCACATACATCTTCTTTTTGACGCTATCATAAGTGGTATTTTACAATGTCAATTTCTGATTGATCATTGCTTATATAGAGAAACACAATTGATTTTTGTATATTACCCTTTTATACTGCACTCTAGCTAAGGTCACTTACTGGTTTGCAGAGTTTGGGGGGGCCCTCACGTCTGGTAATTCCCTGGGAGGATCGTGTATGAAAAGCCTGTCCACGAGCTGTTCTCAGTGCTGCCTCCTCGTCGCGTGTCTGCCACGCACTCAGTTCCTTCCAGCCGCCCTGCGGTCTGCCTGGCCCTCCCTCCTTAATCCCTTCTCCACCGTGGAGCCAGAGCCATCTTTTTTTTTTTTTTTTTAAGTTTATTTATTTATTTTTAGAAAGAAAGAGAGTGCTCATGAGTGGAGGAGGGAAAGAGGGGGAGAGAGAGAGAGTGAGTGCAAGCGAGGAAGGAGCAGAGAGAGAGAGAACCCTTGAACTCATGAACTGTGAGATGATGGCCTGAGCCAAAACCCAAGAGTCAGACACTTAACTGACTGAGCCACCCAGGTGCCCCAGAGCCATCTTTTCAAAGTGCACCCTAAAGGTTTGAAGGGATTTGCTCAAGACCACACAATTAGTAAGTGGTAGAGCCAAGATTTGAATCAGGGTCCTTCTGAGTTCTGAGCCTTCATCCTTCATTATGTCATGCAAGAGTGGGAAAGAGCTGGATCATTCCAAGGTCATTACAATCTGAACATTGTTAGAGGTACGTGTTTGTGTGTATTTGGCAGCTTGTCAACTTGTCTGATGTTGGTTTGGTTTTTGTAGGTGCACGGGTTTCATATTCCAGAAGGTTGGAAAGTTGGCTGCAACGGCTGTGGGAGGTGGATTTTTTCTCCTTCAGGTCTGTATGTGACATGTCCCTGGGTGTTTGGAAGTCCCCTTGCCCATGGGGACTGTGATGTGAGCAGCTGTACTTGAGTCCTGGCCATATTACACCAGAGCAACCTTGCCCTTATTTTCAGTTTACTCTCTGAAATGCCAGTGCGCATTTGAGTCCAATTTCATTAACTATTAGTCAGATTTTATTTCATAATTTATAACATGTGGAATATTTCTTATCATAACTCCCTGATAGGGTTTTCAAGACCAGTTGAAATATGAAATGTGATTTCAAAAATATGAAGTGTGATACAGATGCCCTGTGATACGATTATTTTGCCCAGGACACATTGATCCCAGAGCAGCCAAGGAGACGAGGGCTAAATGACAGTTCAGTCCCATGTCCTCACTTGTGTGTTTGGCCCTGAGTTGATTTCAGAACTACTGGGTATTGGTTTTCTGAGGCTGCACTTGGCATTACTTTGCAAGCCTGACTCCACATTGGAATCACCCAAGGACGTTTAGAAACCACTGGTGCTTGAGGTCCCCCCACTCCGATTCCATAGGAGGTAGGTGCGAGGTAGGTGCGGTTACACATCTGAGTACTTGTAAAGGCCTGGAGAAACACTGCTCTGTAGGAGACAGAACTTGCTGAATTGTGCCACGGTCTCTGGATTCCTAGCCCCTTGTCGTCTTCTCCGCCTGACAGGCCTCACTTAGCAATGAACCGCAGGTGCAGCAAGTCTCCCGGATGGGGCAAGGGAAGATGGAGCGTGTGGGCGAGGGAGGCCGGTGCCTGGCGGGCTCAGTCGGGTGTAGTATTGCCACACAACAAATTCCCTCAACACCTAATGCTCGAAATCACCGTCATTGCATGCTGTCTCACAGTTTCAGGGGGGTCAGAAGTTTGGGGAGGGAAGGGCGCGTGCTTGTGGCCGGAGGTTCCGCTTAGTTACAGCGAGGAGGCGGCTCTGGCATAGCCGGGCCTTGCTCCGTGTCTCTCGGGGACGTCAGACTCTACGCGAGTCCTGGGACCCCTCACATCTCCCTATCTCTCCTTCCTCCCGCCCTGTGCTCCCCCCACCCCCGCCCTGCCCCAGACCCTGTAGGTTCCTTAATGTTGCTTTCAAGTATCTTTTTCCTTCCACCTAAAGCTTTCTTCGCTTGAAGTGTAATTGACGTACAATGTTAGTGTCAGGCATACAACACAGCGATTCAGTATTGATAGATGTGACAAAATGGCTCAGTCTGAGCGTACCCTCTGTTTTTTGGGGGGGGCCATGACTGATGGCAATTGCTAGTAGAAACGCTTCCGTGCTGAGGGAGGCGGGACCTGGAGAGTCCGTGCTGTGCACTCACGCTACAGGTACCAGAGGGGACCCCAGAGGGGTCCACAGAGGGATATGGGTGGCGCCAGGCCTGACATTTCACATAGGGATCCAGGTTCCTTTCTTTCACACTTGTCACCATGCTAGCAGTATTTGCAGTGTGGTGTCCGTCATATGTTAATCCAGACACGTGTGGATCTGATTCAAGGTGGTAATACAGGATCCTCCACATGCCATCCAGGAGTGCCGTGGCTGCTTTTATACTTTTGCTTGTCCATCTAAATGTAGGACAGGCTTGTCAGTTATTTTCAAAAATTCTGTTGAAATTTTGATTGGAATTGCAAGAGAACCATATAGGTAAATTTGGGAAAAATTAATACCTTTTATGATAATGAGTCTGTGAATATGTACACTCCCTCCGTTTATTTAGGTCTTTAATGTCTTTGCAAAGAATTTAAAATTTTTCATCCATACATCTTGTGTACCTCTGCCTTGATTTCCTTCCTAGACACCTTAGGGCTTTCGCTGCACTTGTGGCTTTTGCCTCGGCCGCTCGCCCCCCACCCCCGCCCCCCACCCCCAGGCCTTCCAGCTGGGCTCCAAATGGTGCAGCTGATAACATGGAACACCTTTTCCCAGGCTTATTTGCTATCCACGTCTCCTTCTTGACACAGTGTCTATTCAGGTCTTTTGCCCATTTTTGAATTCTGTTGTTTGTTTCTGTACTTTATATTTTGTCCCATTAACCTGTGTGCTGTCCCTTCGCCAATGTCACAGTGTCATCTTGATTGCTGTAGCATTAGCGTAAATCCTAAAATCAGGTAGTGTGATTCCTCCAATTCTGTTTTTTTCAGAATCATTTTAGCTGTTCTAATCCCTTTGCCTTTCCATGGACCTTTTATTTTTATTTATTTTTTTATTTTAGACATTACATGAGCAGGGGACAGGGCAGAGGGAGAGAGACAGAGAAAGAGAATCTACACACTGAATGTGGAGCCCCAACCGGGACCTGATCCAATTGCCCTGAGATCAGGATCTGAGCCAAGATCAAGAGTCAGACGCTCAATGGACTGAGCCCCCCCAGGTGCCCCTCCATGTACATTTTGGAGGCAGCTTGTTTGAACACCCTGGTGGGGTTGGGATCGCAATAACTCTGTAGCTCAACGTGGAAAGAATTGGACACCATGTCTTCATCAAGTCTTCAGTTCCATGTACATGGCCTGTCTCTCCATTTATTTGTTCATCTTTAAATTCTAAATTCTTCATCGTTTTGTGGTTTTTAGCATGCAGATCCTATTTGATTTTTGTTTAGGTTTCTATCTAGTATTTAATTATTTTACAGCTATTATAAATCATAAATTTTATTTCCATTTCCAGTTGTTTCAACCGCTAGCGAAAAGAATATGACTGATTTTGTGTATTGCTCTTGTATTCTGCAGCCTTGCCGAAACTCACCTTTTCCCCCAAATGAGGCGGTTTATTAACACAGCTGCCACCTGGCCTGCAGTTCTGTTCACGTCTCTCTGTCCCTGAGGTGTCGGTTTGCAGCCTCCATCTTGATCCTTTTCCACCATTTTCTACTCCTCTAGAGCTTGGAAGACCCTGCAGGCCACATGCTTTGAGCCTCTGTTGAAGTGGCTGGGCATGACCACATCTCTGATGTCCCCTGTAGATCTTGCTCGTGGAGCTGACCCCAGCACCACCCTGGAGGCATAGCTGTCGTGCTGTGGAAGCATCTCGTGTGTAGAAGCAGCTCTTTTTTTTTTTTTTTTTTTTTTTTTTTTAATATATATTTCTGAGAGCGAGAGAGACAGTGTGAGCAGGGGATGGTCAGAGAGAGAGGGAGACACAGAATCCAAAACAGGCTCCAGGCTCTGAGCTGTCAGTGCAGAGCCCGACGTGGGGCTCGAACCCAGGAACTGTGAGATCATGACCTGAACCGAAGTTAGACACTTAACTGACTGAGCCACCCAGGCACCCCGAACCAGTTCTCATCATAGGGAGCAAGCTCTTTTTTTTAAGTTTATTTGTTTCTTTTGAGAGATGGAGGCAGACCGAGGAGAGAGAGGATCATAAGCAGTCCCTGCACCACCAGTGCGAAGCCCAACACGGGGCCCAAACCAAAAACCGTGAGATCAGGACCCGAGCCGAAGACAGGAGTCAGCTGCTCAGCCAACTGAGCCACCCCAGGCACCCCAGGGAGCGAGCTCTTTCTGCTTGGCCAGCCTGACAGTATCCCCCCTTTCGGGGACTCGCGGCTCGTCGGACTTTTGGGGATGGGTGCCAGAACTCTGACAGGCTGGCTGGAACTCTGCGCTGCCAGCCTGAATGCACAGTTTATCTTATTTTAGTTTACTTAATTTTTTTAACGTTTAATCATTTTTGAGAGAGAGAGACAGCGTGAGTTGGGGGCTGGGGGACAGAGAGAGACAGAGACACAGAATCCAAAGCAGGCTCCAGGCTCTGAGCTGTCAGTACAGAGCCCAGTGTGGGGCTCGAACCCACAGACTGGGAGATCGTGACCTGTCTGGAGTCAGATGCTTAACTGACTGAGCCACCCAGGTGCCCTGGACTTTTTTAAAAATGTTTGTTCATTTAAAACTAACAAATAAGAGAGAGAGAGAAGGAGGGAGGGGCAGAGAGGGAGACACAGAATCTGAAGCAGGCTCCAGGCTCTGAGCTGTCAGCACGGAGCCCAATTCGGGACTCAAACCCGTGGACCGGGAGATTATGACCTGAGCTGAAGTCACACGCTTAACTGACTGAGCCACCCAGCACCCTGGTTTATTTTTTGTGTGGATTCTTTGAGATTATGTAGATAGAGATGTCCACAAGTAGCAACAATTTGCCTCCTTTCTGATCTGGCAAAGAATTTCAGTTTTTATGAGTATTAATGTTGTGTATATTGTATTGTATTGCAAATATTTTTTTCCAGCCTGGTTTGGGTGACTAACTAAATAGAGACTAGAGGAAAAGCAGCAACCCTCTGTAGGAGACTAGGGAGAGGAGAAGAGTTTCAGTTTGAGATGCGTGGAGAAATCCAGGTAGATATGATTTATCAAACTTTGGCAGAGAGAAGTGATCTTGATGGAAGATTCATTGATGGGCTGTAATCAGTCTCTTCATTCCTGGGACAACAGTAATGCATCAGAAAACAACATACTTGAATCACTTTTTTAGCTTTATATATTTTGAGAGAGAGCACAAGTGGTAGCGGAGCAGAGAGAGAGAATCCCAACGAGGCTCTGCACTGTCAGTGAGGAGCCCCATGTGGGGCTGTGTCTCATGAGTTGGGAGATCTTGTCCTGAGCTGAAATCAGGAGTAGGACCCTTGGGGCGCCTGGGGGGCTCGTGGGTTTGGGCCCCACGTCGGGCTCTGTGCTGACAGCCAGTTCAGAGCCTGGAGCCTGTTTCAGATTCTGTGTCTCCCTCTCTCTCTGACCCTCCCTGCTTATGCTGTCTGTCTGTCTGTCTGTCTGTCTCTCTCTCTCAGAAATAAAACATTTAAAAAATTTAAAAAAAAAAAAAAAGAGTAGGACCCTCAACGAACCAAGCCCCCCGATGACCTGCTCACACTGAGGTTTAGTGGTTGTCCCAGCTAAAGAGAGGTGGGCAGATTCCACACGTATAATTGGATGTGTTATTCTCAGGATCCCATATATGAAATCGTTCATAAGAAATCTATGTGGAGCCATGTTCTAGAAGATGGCTTTCTGAGCAAAAGCGATGACTGTGTGACAGCCTTGTTCTGTTCACGTTGTCAGAAAACTCGGGCTTATGTTGACACTGAGGACTATAAGGTCTCTTCACCTTAAATCTTGAGTTTGAATTCTGATTTTTCTTTTGCCGTTTTATATTTTTTAACTAACTGAAAAGTCTTTGGTGAGGGATAAGAGTATAAATAAGGTAAAACCATTGCCAGTGGTCATTGAAGGCCCGTCTATTGATCCGGCATCATGCACAGGGCCTTGTACGTAGGGTGGACACTGAGATGTGGAGTGAATGTCATTGTCATGTAATGAACTGGATGGCAAAGGTCTCCAGAAATGGAAAATCAGATGGGTTTTTGATAACGTGCTTCAGCGATTAATCCTGATGAACAGAAATAACAAGCCTGTCTTTCCTATTTCTTGCTGTCATTATTGAAACTCTAGCTTGCAAACCATACCGGGTACATCAAAGTTGACTGGCAGCGAGTAGAGAAGGACATGAAGAAAGCCAAGGAGCAACTGAAGATCCGTAAAAGCAGCCAGATACCCAGCGAGGTCAAAAGCAAAGCAGAGGAGGTGAGACCTGTTTTGTTCGCCTGTGGTGTGAAAAGTGCAGGCCTTAAATGGAGCACCTTCGCCACAGGGACTTTGCTTTACAGCTGGGTCATCGGAGTGTTGGTGGCCTTTATCGGTGACCGAGAATGCAAAGTGATACATGTTACACATGTGGGTGGGCCATGGCTTGAATCAGTTCTTGTAGGAACGGGGACAGTGCAGCGAATGGGCATTGTCACCATGCACGCCGTTCTCTGAAACGTCCGTGCTTTACACGTACATAGAAGAGCCGGAGCATCCAGCCCAGAGGTGGGCAAACTTTTTTTGTAAAGGGCCAGATGATAAATGTTTCCGGCTTTGTAGGCCCTGTGGCCCCTGACCCAGCTCTGTGTGTCCGGCTATACTGACTGGTGCTTGGACATGAGAAGTCCTTCCTTTTTAAAAGCATGTATTTTGCTACTGCTTTATTACCTCTAGAAATCTGTTAAATGTCCCATGAAATAAGGGCAGTGAAGTGGGGAGCAAGAAATAAACAGGAGCAAAAAATAAATAGGATCAAGGGGTCAAGAAGGTGCCTTCCACCTTCCATGGCCTGGAGTCATGCTGTTCTGGATTCACAGAGAAAGGGGATGGAATGAGTCCAGAGGAGGGATTTAGAAGTAAATTTCAACAGGCCTTGGCCTCGAAATATTGCCAAATGCTGGTAACAAAATAAAACAGGTGAAACCCAAAAGACTCAAGAGAACAGGAAAAGAATTCCAGAAGACAAGAAACAACAATACATTTTTTGAAGTTGGAAAGCAGATAGATGAATAGTAAATGACTTAGCCAACTAGAAAGTACTCAACGGACAAGTCCCCTTGCCAGGCACATAATGGCAGTCCCTGTGTGGTGGTGGGTTACAGGCCAAAGCTGGTCCTTTGCCCAGAATGGAAAGGAGCATCTCTGAGGGCCCAGGAGTACAGATAGTCCCTCCCATTCCTGTCCCCCCACCTCAAGCTCAGGGTTATGAAAGTGACACTTTTTTCATTTTGTCAAAACTCTTTTATTATTCAGGTGTTTACAAACGCAAGAGGGACCTTGTTATAAACTAACCAAAAGGTTTGAAATGGATTCATTCCACAAAGTTGTGTTTTCCTATTCATGGCCTGGAACTGTCCTAGGCCCCCGGGATAGAGGCTGCTTCCCCCTCAGACCCATGCTCTGAGCTGCGAAGCCAGGTAACGTGGAAGAGAAATTCAGTGATTAGCAGTAGAGTCGTCGGTGACTTTGGCGACAACAGCTCTGGTGGGGTGGTGGCGTTGAAGGCCCAGCTGTAGCAAGTTGAGGAATGAGTAGGAAGTAAGAAAAAGATAATGAATGAAAACAGTTACTTCAGGAATTCGTATGATTGTTTTCCTTCCCCCTGATAGTAGATGGCAAAAGACAGGGCCTCATGTCTGGAGGACAGGCGGCACTGATGTAGGAAGAAGATGTGGACATAGTGAGAGGAAGGTGCTAGAAAGCCCCAGCAGGACAGGGTCAGGCTGTGAGCGGCTGAGATGGTTGGGAGATGAACTCCCCACTTCGCTTGAGTTCGTGAAGTGATTAGGCCGGGACACTGGATGTGTTGTCGCAAGGGATGTTTTTTTGTTTTAATTTTTTAATGTTTGTTTATTTTTGAAAGAGAGAGAGAGAGAAAGAGAGACGGAGCGTGAGCTGGGGAGGGGCAGAGGGAGAGGGAGACACAGAATCCGAAGCAGGCTCCAGGCTCTGAGCTGTCAGCACAGAGCCCAATGGGGGGCTCAAACTCATGAACAGTGATCATGACCTGAGCTAAAGTCAGACGCTTAATGGACTGAGCCCCCCAAGCGCCCCATCAAAGAATGCTTTCTAAGGCGATAGTTGTACTTGGGAAAAAGAGGGAGTCTGAAGGACTTACCAGACTTCTCTCAAATGGAAATTGATAGAGCACAGTCATCGGCGCCAAAGGGTGCTGAGTTCACGTTCTGAGCTGCAGATGAGTAGACAGGAGGTAGAAGCTTTGTGAATTTGAGATATCCTTATTTTAATCATCTTCTGATGTAGTGAGGTGTGGGAACGCAAATCCGTGGCTTCTACTTGAGAGGAGGCCTCCGAGGGGAGTGGGTGTGTAGACGGACAGGTGGACTGATGGATGGACAGGATGAGTGGGTAGAGAGATTTTGGAGAAGAGGCTGTGGAATGAGCAGCCTCTGTTGGAAAGTAGGTGTCAGAGAAAATGGAAGAAGTGAATTTGGAAACTGTAGGGGCGCCTGGGTGGCTCAGTCGGTTAAGCATTCGACTCTAGATTTCGGCTCAGATCATGATCTCACAGTTTGTGGGTTTGAGCCCCATGTTGGACTCTGTCCTGACAGTGTGCAGCCTGCTTGGAATCCTGTCTCTTCCTCTCTGTCTACCCCTCCTCTGCTCTCTCTCTAAAAAAAAAAAAAATATATATATATATATATATATATATATATAAATAAAAAAAAAAGAAATTAGAAACTGTAACCAGTTTATTGGCTACAGCTTTATTCTTTCCTCATAAGTTCCCCCGTGAACTCTGAACTCCATCCTTCCCTGTTCCTGAATGAACTCTCGGGCAAATTTCTTAGCTCTGGCAGACATGAGTGAAGATAGAACTCAAGCATTTGCCTTTGGCTGCTCCTGCTGCTCCCTCATATGGCCAGTCATCCATTCGAAGTCCCGTCCTGAAACCATCTCTTGAATTTCATCACTTCGCACCCCTGCTACCACCTCGATCAGAGAGCCCGTGGTGAGGGGATTGCGTAGGGAATGGAGATGAGGTTCCTACTAATAATGTTCTTAACGAAACAACCCATTTGTGTTCTCTTCTGTTTCTAGGTAGTGTCATTTGTGAAGAAGAACGTTCTAGTAACTGGTGGATTTTTCGGAGGCTTTCTGCTTGGCATGGCATCCTAAAGAGGACAACTTCACTTCCGTTATTCCTGTGTTTTCCAGCCAGCAGCCTCTACACTCCATCATGGACATCAAATGTCTCCTGCTTCTCTTCTTCCGTGCCTTCCTCCCTGCCGCGGCGTATGCGAATGGCTTCTATAGGCATCTGTCGGTACAAGTTGATACGGCCCTACTGTGGGCTCGATGGCAATGGAAGAGATCATAGACATTAGCTCTTCCCAGCACACTCCCCAGTTGACTAATCTGTAGGTCAGCAAAAATGTTCCTTTGCCTCCTCCCATAGCTACAAGATACTTAACAGAGCGCAGTATCACATGCCTCGGCTTGGAGGGTGAGTGGCTCCTCAGAAGCTGTCCCAGACTTGATATGGGAAGAAAACATAAGCGTATAGATACCTTATGTGTTGCATGGGAAGGAACTGAATACATTTGCCTTTAAGCATGAAAGACTTGGTATCTTGGTGTCTACTTTCTTTTTTTTTTTTTTTTTAGTTGCTTTTAGATTACAGAAAGAGAGCTATTTATATACTTGCTGTAATTATCCTGGCAAAAATGGCAGTATAAGCACTATAATTGAAACATCTGAATACAGAATGAACTTGTGCTGAGCTGAAGGTATTGTGTTTGGGAAGAACGTCTTTAGGGAAACCGACCAATAAATACATCACTGAATGGTCAAACTTAGTGAATCATTTAGGGGCGTTAAGATATTATCCAGGGGTGTATTCCACCATAAAGCCACTCAGGCCTATTGCTAAAGGTTTTTTTCATGGTAAAATAAGTGACTTTAGGTGGGAGACTGAAGAAGCTCACAGATTTTTATTTCATAGGAACGGTTTTAAGCTTTGAGACATTAGGTATTATTTACCTCTTGTCAAAACATTAGGGGTCGCCGTGCTTCCTGTGTGAAAGTCTGCTATTTCTCTAGTCGCTTTGAAATACCTCACATTCAGAATTGAGAACAATAGCAATGGCATGTGTGAAGTCGGTCAGTTCCGTCATCAAACATAACGTGCTGTGTCACAGTGACCCCACCTCATAGAATTATTCTTTGAAATAACAGTTTTTGGACACACATACACGTGCCTAGAATCTTAGCACATTTTGTTGTAATGGCCCGTTACCATGGCTGCAGCTTCATCTTCAACATCCAATTCTGGAGGATAAGGCTTGTGTCTTTACCGTTAAACCCGCGGGGCCGAGCGCTTAGTAGGCATTCAGTGTTTGTTGAAGATCTGAATAATGACCTCATATAAATGTATCCAGAAAAGGGACTGATCCAAAGAATTATTGGAGAATTTATGAGTTCTGAGAATGCAGAAAACTTAGAATTCTTAAACTTGCAGCTGATTCTTTGCAAGATGTATGTTTTTAAGGTATGTTTTTAAGGCTTTCGTTTAAAACATTTGCCTTTTTACTAATCTTGGGAATGATGTATTGAATTTGTAAATTGTAGCTACCAATGGATGTGTGGAGCTTTTTAGGATTCATCCACCTGCATTTTCCCATTTTAAGGCAACATAAAAGTTTTGCTTATAATCTGTATGAACCATCCCCAAATCATGGTAGGAGGCTCTGTGTTGCATATTTTGTATAAGAACTTAAAAACTTGTTATCACCTTTTATTATGAAAACAAATATATCTAAAAGTAGAGAAAGTGTAGTGAGCCTTGTATATCTTACCACCCACCTGCACTGATCATCAGATTACAGCTTGTTTTATCAGTTGTTTTGAAACAAATACAAAGGTTCATTTCATTATATTTCAGTATGTGTCTCTAAAACACAGTAACAACTGTGTTTAAAAATCATAAATACACTACCCTACTATCATACCAGAAACTTAATAATCCCTTAATATCAGATATCTGGCCAGTTTTCACACTTCCCTGTCTCCAGTGTTTTACATCTCAGTTTGTTTAAATCAGTATCCATACGACATATACTCACATTGCATTCAGATGGTCTAAGTCTCTCGTAATCTTGTGTGTTCTTTTGGTCTCTTTTCTTTTTTCTTTTTTGGCCTGCGATATATTTATTGAAGACACTGAGTGATTTGTCCCTTAATTTTCTCCATTCTGCTTCTGAGGCCTGGGTCCCTGGGTCACGCTACGTGTGGCAACCAAAGCTGCAGTTACTGGATGACTTGATCCATGTCATTCACCCAGACCAATAGGATGGTGTCTGTAAACGTGAACTGAAGTGCCCTGTGCCGCTCTGGACAGGGAGAGGGGCCACTGGATGCCTCTCTGGTGGGGTAGGAATTGCCTTATATCCATCTATCGTCCCCATGAGTATTGGTGATGACAACAGATTAGCAAGTCGTTCTAAGCTTTGAGCAGCTTGTAGTAGATAATAGACTGAAGTAAGATCCATAGGTCCATCCCAAAGTTTTTTCCCAGCTGGCTGCTTTTGGGAAGCACAGTTAAGCTGCACAGTTAAGGTCAGTGTTGCAGATTGGCCTCCCGCGGCGCGGGGAGAATGACCCTGAGCCCCGCCCACCGCTTGTGGCCGTGCTCTGGTGCCCTAGTGGAGAACTGGGTGCGCGCGTTAATGGAATCACTACACTGAGGCCCGGTTGCCAGCAGCATTGCTGGAGGTAATGAGCTGGGGGGTAAGATTTCCCCCAGAAGAACAGCAGCTGCCCGCCCTTCACGCACAACCGAGCTCCAAGGAGCCAGCAACTATTTCTATTTGATTAGCGATGCCTGCTTAGCAAAGCACACTTTTCTCCAGCGCGCTCTCCAGTGTCCTCTCTCGAGGACAATAATGCGTGGGGCTTACTTTTTACAGGTGAAGGCCGAAGAGCTCAGTTTTTCTTTGACCCACAGAGCTATGCGGCGTGTCCGGGGTTTTGGCTCCCCCTGCAGGCAGGGGTGCAGTAACACCACATTTGGGCCTGCCCTACCTGGTGGCTGGAGCACTTGTGACATTTTTGTCCCCTTTGCCATCTGGCCCCCGTGCAGCCCACTGTGCCCTGTCTGTCCCTTCCCAAGCCGCCTTGGCTCCCAGCGTCCTCGCTGTTCCGGGCCACCCTTTGACCCACAGTCGCTCCCGCGATGGGACTAGGTAGGATGGGGATGTGGGGCCCCATATGGCAGACCTCTAATGCCTGAGTTCCTGCTTCCTCTAATGCCCTGGTGTCAGATGAGAGGGGAAAGGGGTGCAGAGTCGCTGCTGCTGCTGAGGCTCAAAAAAGAGACTCGTTTTCAGTCTCGCCTAAGGTTCTGTGTCATTACCGAGCAGCCCCACTGTTATTAGTGTCATTGTCTTAACGTGCAGCGTTTTCTTCCTGCTGCCCATCTGGACGTCACGTTTGCTACAGTCTCTCATCACTGAGTCTCAGGACATCCATCAAGCACCCAGAGTCTTGACTCCCCTCCACCCCCGCGCCTTGGTAAGAGTGCTTAACTGGACCTGGTCAGGTACTGTCTCACGGATGCTGGCCGAAGACAGGACATGAGTGAAATTGGAGAACAGTATCCTAGAAGGAACAAACCTTCCGTAACTGTAGCTGACGTACCCTTGGGGTGGGTGCTTCAGGTTTTGAAATGTGGTCACTGGATAGCTAAGCTACTTGACACTTGGCGGCAAGATGGGCACGGCTAATGGTTGGGCTCTTACTTGAAAACTCTACTTTTCTATAGTTTGGGGAAATAGGATCAATCTCTGCTTAGAAAAATGATAGATGGATTTGAAATTTCTGAGCATCACTAATGTTTCATGACACTCTCGGTTTCTTCCCTTCAGGAAACTCCACTAAGGCAGAATTAGCCTGCTTCCCCCACCGTGTCGGCTCAGTTGCTTTGTCACGGAGTCCAGGTGTGGGCCCTTCTTAATCAGTCACTTGTACAAGGTTAGAGTGATCTCCTGGGGGAATTGGGCTGAAAATGTATATCCTATCCTGAAACTGATTTCCCAGAAATCATATGTTCTGTGATGTTTGCTTCTTCTTAAGGGATCATGAATATTAAGAGTGCTGTTTTACTAAAGAAACTCGACACTGTTGTACTTTTTTCACATTAAAAACAAACTGTCAGTTCAGCTTATTGACTCCCCACAACTGTCTACCTTTCTGAATTTAATGGTAAGAACTACTGATAGGATTATTGAGAGCAGTGGAATTTTACAAACTACTGATGTCGCACGTCGGGTTCCTTGGGCCGCCTGACTGTTGGACACGCCTCATGGGTGTCTCAGGAGCAGGTAAGGTTGGAACAGCTCTGCTGTTAAGTGACTACTTAGCAAGCCTTTAAAGCCTTTTGAATTAAGTGCCATATAATTTCAAATGCCTCCCAGATACTGAACCCAAGTGTGATGTTACAGTTTATTAAATGGTAGGAGTTGTGGGCAGTTCTCACATAATGGCAGATCGGGGGCTTCTGTCATCAATGGATGCTGAAGTTTTGGGGAGAAAGTGGGGTATGGCCCAACATATCCCCCCACAAATGACTTAGCCATTACAAGGGGAAGACTTCCTTTCTAGTGGAGGAGTCTCTTAGTCACTAGTTCACCACGTAATTAACCTTGCCACCGCCAGCCCCCTTAGGGGCTAAAATGGAGGAGACCCTAGTCGTCACCATCCCAGTTCCTCCCTGGAGACTGAGATTCCGTAGCTCATAAAAACACTGGATGAATGTTCAGCGTTTCTATTTTGTTAGTGGCTGTTTTATTTTTCTGTGTCTCATAATAGCCGAGAAGAATCAGATTTAAATTAATGTCTGTCAATAGATGTTAACTTCAACTGAGACAGGACTGAGTTTAAAGATAGGAAGGAACAGTGGATTTGAGGCTTTAAAAGCCCTCAATAAGGTCAGATTCCCTAGAAGAAAACAAATTTAAAACAGTCTGAAACTTGAGTAGTTAGCTCAATAAAAATGAGTTTTTAACAAAGCACAATCATGTAGTGATTCCTAATATAAATGCTACCAACACTATCCACTCGTAATTTTAAATGTAAACGTGTATATAATGTAAACAGAGTTGTAAATGTTTTCTTAAATTGTCTCACTCTTAGGACAAGAGTTCACTTAAATGATTTCATGAGAACGTAGCACTGTCACCTTGGTCTGTGGACCAAACATCTCTAAGGCAACGTCGCTCCACATCTCTCTGGAGAATGTTCACCCTGAGCGGTGCTATCTGAAGAATGGGCTCGCAAGGCGCACTGGGGCGCACTGCCTATGCTAGTCCTGTGCGAAGGATCAGCATTTACAGTAGCGAAGTAAAAGCTTTGACGTGTTACAGGAAAGAAACCCGTTCCCTTATGTCTAATCTACCATCCTCCAAACTTCTCTGCCATGGAAGCCCTTCCCCCTCTTTATAGCAACTTCTAGAAACACTTTAGGGAATGCCGCTTTATTTATTTTAATGTTTTACTTAATTTTTGAGAGACAGAGACAGCACAAACAGGGGAGGGTCAGAGACAGAGGGAGACACAGAATCTGAAGCAGCTCCAGGCTCTGAGCTGTCAGCACAGAGCCCGACGCGGGGCTCAAACCCACGAACCGTGAGATCACGTCCTGAGCTGAAGTCGGACGCTTAACCGACTGAGCCACCCAGGCGCCCCGGGAATGCCGCTTTGAAAGAATAGTTCGTCTCATATCTTAATTGTATTTGAATACCAGGGAGTATCCTTGCCCTTTCACAGCAATGGAGGCTTTTTCTAGCATGCTCCAAGAGGCAAGGAAGGCCCCTCACTGTTGGGGGCTGAATGTTTGTGTCCCCCAAAACTCCTGTTGAAATCCTAACACCCAAGGTGATGGTATTTGGCGGTGGGGCTTTTGGGAGATGATTAGTTCATGGGGGTGGAACCCTAATGACTGGAATTAGTGCCTCTATTAAATGCACCCCAGAGAGCTTGCTCACTCCCCTCCCATCACGTGAGGACACAGCAACACGGCAGTTCGTGAACCTTCTGGGCAGGATCTGCTCCTGCTCCTGCTCCTGCTCAGACAGGAATGACGGTGGTTCTAGCATCTGTTGGAGGAAAGCAACTGGCCTGTTTGGTACTGTCGCTCCTGTACCACTACATGGAGTCACTGAGAACTGTCAGCAGGCTTCCTTCCGCAGCCTTGTATTAACATCATTAGGAGCCACTGTAATGTTTTGATTATAAAGATATAAAGAGCAGATAAAGAACCCAAGAATTCTGTTGCTGCCTGCCTGCCTCCCAGTGAAGCATTCCTCCCCCCCCCCCCCAGTTTTCTCATGGTATTAGGGGTCATTAACCATTAGAAGAATCATTTCTAGGCCTTCCCTACCGCTCATTGAACAAATATTAAGTGTCTTCTTGCTAGACCCTGTGGTGGGGATGTAAAACTGGAAGGCCATGCTCTTAGTGGCATCCGAAAGGACACTTTGCTCTGAATTACTGGAAACGCGGCAGGTACGGAGCTGGGTTAGACACACCTCTGAGTTGCACCTGCAGTCTGTGGAAGGTACGACTGTGGCACTGCAGGGGCATCTTCCCACCTAACACAGGACTAGTTTTATGAATAGAACCAGAAGTCCGAACTCAAATGCTAAAGAGAGTGCATGAACACGTATGTCTGTAGCTTTAAAGCGTGTTTTTTCCAACACCGCCGAGCAACTCTCCAATTCTCAGTGGAGAGATTTAGTTAGGAGCCTACGTACCTGGAATTAGCACCAGATCTCACAGGTTAAGGGCCAACAAGAGTCCCCGCAATTCAGACACCTGTTGAGTGCAGATTGCTACTGTGCTGCTCACCAGCTATAAATGTGAGCTTCCCAATGACATCTGCCTTGGGTTTGATTCATTTTCTAGAGTAGCTCACAGAACTCAGAAAAACATTTCCTTAAACATTTACGAGCTTATTATAAAGGACCCAGATGAACAGCCAGATGGCAAGGTACGTAGGGCAGGGCCCCATGCAGAGGAGCACCTGTCCAAACCCAGTCCTTTGGGGTTTATAGAGGCTTCATTACACAGGCCATTGGTGACTGATTCAACCTCCAGCCCCTCTCCCTTCCCCAAAGGTGGGAGAACTGGTGGATTGAGACTTCCAACCCTCGAATCACATCGTTGGTTCCCCTTGGCAACCAGCCCCCATCCATAGGTTACTCAGGGACTTTCAAAAAGTGACCTCATTGGGGCGCCTGGGTGGCTCAGTCGGTTAAGCGTCCCACTTCGGCTCAGGTGATGATCTCACAGTTCGTGGGTTTGAGCCCCGCGTCGGGTTCTGTGCTGACAGCTCAGAACCTGGAGCCTGTCTTTGGATTCTGTGTCTCCCTCTATCTCTGACCCTCGCCTGCTCATGCTCTCTCTCTCTCTCAGAAATGAAGACATTAAAAAAAAGTGACCTCATTAATGTGACAAGACACCTTTATCACTCTTACCACTTAGGAAATTCCAAGAGTTTTAGAAGCTCTGTGCCAGGAAAGGAGATAAAGACCAAATATAGATTTCTTATAAGTCACAATATCATAAGTACCAAACGAAAATTTTTCACTTAACAGGTTTATTTTAGCAGCTCGGTTTCATTACATTGTACATATTTAATATATTTATATTTCTATCCGTTCTGCATAGATGGCATATTCATTAACTTTTATAGTTGACTTTTTCATTTGCTATTTGCTGCTACCTGGTCTGAAGACACAGGAAGACACATAAAACTCGCTTGGTGGAAACATGGCGCAGCATTGAACTTGCCAGCAGAACTCTACTTTGCTGCAGGCTTCGGTGTCAGCTTTTCTTCCTCCTCCTTTTCAAACCCCGAACAGACCAGAGATCTTCCCCTCGGGTATCGAGCACAGCACTTGCGCAGTTCCTGGATGACAGCCTGACACTTAGACTCCATGTAGTTGTTGGCTGAAAAACAGACACGCATACCCTAGTCATGATCTCATAGCACTAGGGCCTGGGGGAGTTCAGATCAGTGCCTTCCCCTCCTTTTCACTTTATTGTGTCCCCAGACATGAAAGAAAGAGGATGTACCCAGGTCCACTTAATTCTTTCTGATGTAGACACCAGTCAATAGGCTAATTACCAAAAAAAAAAAAAAAAAAAAAAGCAAGATTTACAAACTGGTCGGAGGAATTTTTTATATAATTTCCTTTTCTTTAAAATTGAGTTAATAGCTTATGTACCCTCTTCTAGAACAGTGGCGGCTGCAGACCCTCCGCAAGCTCAGAATGGTTCTCACACTTTTCAAGGCTGTAAACACACACCCACGTACCCACCCACACCCTACACAACAAAGACCTCATGGCCTGCAAAGCCAAAACTATTTACTGTTTGGCCCTTTACAGAAAATACGTGAAGACCCTTACTATACGTAGGCCCTAAGTCAAGGAGACCTTCACCTAAAGGTTCTAGGTCAGCTGCACTTGATCTGAGTCCCCTGGTGCTAAAATGGGGTGCATGGGAGTTATCTAGGATTAAAAAAAAGAAAGCAATGCATGCTGAGTGGTTGAGTCCAGGCTTAGAGCCAGATCAAATGGGTTCAAATCCTCACCGTACCCCTTATAGCTGTGTGACCCCGGACAAGTTATAGAACTTCTGTGTCAATTTCCCCATCTGTAAATGGGGGTCAATAATAGCATCTAACTGATGGATGAAAGGATTAAATGACGTAATGTGTTTAAAACCCTTGTGGCTGTGCTTAATGCTAACTCTTAGTCCTTACAGCCCTCAATCCTCCCATACTGTAGCAAGGGAGAATCCCTATGTTGATTCTTGTTCTCCCTCAGCCATGGGTTGCTAATTCAAATAAGGTAAGAATTTATTTGGGAGAAGGAATTGTGAAAAACATCTTCCTTTTTCTTAAGTTTGGAGGAAGGGAAGAAAACGATGAATAAAGTATCATTATCATTATACATTAACATTTTAGACTAAAAGATATTGAAGGGGGCGTCTGGGTGGCTCAGTTGGTTGAGCGTCCAACTTTGGCTCAGGTCATGATCTCAAGGTCCATGAGTTTGAGTCCCATGTCAGGCTCTGTGCTGACAGCTCAGAGCCTGGAGCCTGCTTCAGATTTTGTGTCTCCCCCTTTCTCTACCACTCCCTAGCTTACGCTCTGTCTCTCTCTCCCTCTCAAAAATAAATAAATTAAAAAATTTAAAAAAGATATTTATGAAATATTTCTTTCATCACAAAATGAAGAGGTCAAGAATGAAAGTTAAGAGTCAAAGGAAATATACAAACAAGGGTTTTCTTTAGTGGTGAATCTCTGGGTAAATTTTCACATCTTTCCCTCTGATTCTTCTGTATTTTCATGGGCATCCATCTGTATTACTTATATAATGGGAAAAATGATCAAAAACGGCAGTTTTGAAATTCAAAAAGCTTTGAAGCTTTTTCTATCTGTTCTACCAATAATTGTTTGCTGATTTAAAAACGTAAAATCTTCTAGCATTTGGCCAAAGTTTTTGGCCAATTTAAAACCAGATTGTGGGAGAAAACCAAGTGGACAAATCACATCAAATATGCTTTACTTGAAATTTCTTTTACCTTTAAGACAGCTGCTAACTTTGGCAGCCTGAATTCCAATTGTTTTTTTTCAACCCCCACTTCCAACCTGATTGCTTTTCAAAAGTGACTTGTCAGCCACAGTGAAGTATAAGCAACCCATTTAAAACTAGTCTTTTTTAAAAAGGACTTTGCTCGAGGAACCTGGGTGGCTCAGTTGGTTAGGTGTCAGACTCTTCATTTTGGCTCAGGCCATGAGCTCACGGTTCATGAGCTCAAGCCCCTGTGCTGGGCTTTGCACTGTCAGCATGGAGCCCGCTTGGGATTCTCTCCCTCTCTGTCTCTGCTCCCAACTCCCCCCCCCCCCAACTTATGCTCGCTCTTTCTCTCAGAATAAACAAACACTAAAAAAAAAAAAAAAAAGAGACTTTGCTTAGCATTGTAACTCTCAACTCTGGCTGTACATTAAAATATGTCTGTGATGAAATTTCCCTGGTTCCTGCAAGAACCCATCCTCAGAAAGTCTGATTTAATTGTTCTCGGCAAGTTTTTAAAGCTCTTCAGGTGATTCTAATGTACAACCAGGATTGCAAACACCAAGCTTAGATCACATCACTTTTTATTTTCTGCATCTTTGATGATACAATGAGGAAAATCGTCAGGATAATTACAGAATTATTACATTCGAGGGGAGTTAATATCATCTGCTAATAAAAAGAAAAATTGGTCTCTTGTAGTCAATTCACAGGTAAAGTGGAAAAATATAAAAAAGCATTTAACATACTACCTTGTAAACATTTCTGTATTTCACAGGCTTGTTTCTGGCACGGATCCTTCTGCGGCATATCCAGAAAACTAAAATAAGAAAAATGATTTTTATTTTGTCTTTTATCCATAAAGACTTGAAAGCCCTTCTAGACGGAATTATTTTCTGAGACAACTAGGTATGCTGGAAAACATTTGCACTCAAAAATACTCTTCCCATTCATAGGATGAATCAACTGTATTTTTATAACATCCATTTCATTCATTTTGGAAGCTATAAATAGATTTACATAAAAAAAAACCCTTGAATTCAATCAGCTCATCTTGAATACTGTAAACCAGTGTTGGGCTAGAGGAGCCCATGCCACAGCCCAACAGTCCTGCCCGCTGCTCAGATCTATCATTCACAGAACCACTCCTCGTCAATGACTACACTGCTTGCAGTTATTTCCCCTACGATTCACGCGTACATCGGGGACCGTTCCTACGCACCTCCAAGCGTTAGTGGAAGGACTAAAGTACACACAGTAGGGCCTGGAAGGAAGGCAGTTAGGACTCGGTACATGGTAGGCATGATTCCCAAGATGTAAAAAGTAAAAACCTTACTTTTAATGTACATAAACAGTTATGACTACTTTAACTCAGTAAATTATCAGGTAGTAAACGCTTTCCTAGGAATCAGCAATATTTGGTGCTATTATTACTTCCTGAGAAAGGTGCTAGGTAAGCAGCTAAAATATCTTCTGCAGCTCTTACAGAAACCAACTTGTTGAACATATCTATAACCAGAGAATGAATTTAAGTGCCCATGATTTTGATCGGCAACTTCTAATAATTTGAAGGCACAATTGCAGAAAGGAAAAAGGCCCAGGAGCCTTGGTAGCTAATTCCATTAATTGAATCGACTTCCTTTTTTTTTCAGAGCCCCCTAAGTTCTCGGTAGATCCAAGTTAGGTCAGTACTGGGATGGGAAACACCGGAGCAAAACCTCAGATATTTACAGGACGGGAGAAGGAAAGGCAGGTGAATTGCTGCAGGGCAAATAAGCGACAGATAGATGTTGACGCTGCTAGCAGCCGCTCTCTTCTGTCTACATCAGCACCAAGTCCTTGGTGGTCAGGGCATCTGTTCTGTAGCAGGTGCTGACTTTTGTGGGATTCATCAGATCCCAGTTCCAGCTGATGATGTCCATGAAAGGTTCTATGGCAATTTCCACAGGAGTCGACTTCAAGTTACGTAGCCTGACTAAGTGCTTTTGTTGACTTGCTTTCTGCCTGTGTAACCCCCTCTCTGCAGTTCCGCTTGCGCTGTTGTTCATGACCCTTCCTACGCTTCTGCGTTCTTGAGCGGTTGTTCAACCCACTCCCTCCCCCCAGGCCCACAGGTGGGTGCACTGCAGTGCTGGATGAAGTGATTGCCATGTACTGAATAGAACAGTGGAGCACATCTTCCTAGAATCCCAGCACCTGGAAAAAAAATAGATCATTAAAATCACCGCAGCCGAAGAGAGTGAAAAAGAAGGGAGAATAGGGGATAAACAGAAATACATACCAGGTTAATCATCAGGCAAAAGCTTAAGCAACAGCTCCTGTACTCCCCTGACCTGTCAGAAAAAGAAAAGTTTATCGAGCACTCTGTCGTAAGAGCCCCAGGACAATGGAAAATGATGAAGCAACACAGGTACCATTAAATGATGCTGGATCTGCCACAAGCGAGAGTTGTTATCCATGTAGCGCTCCTCAGGGTAGAGTTGCCACATGAGAGGTAGCTGGGAGGTGAGAAGGTGACTTGGCCTAGCTGCGTCACCTAAGGGAACCTGAACTTGCTGGACTCGTGCCCTTAGGAAACTTGTCTCCTGATGGGAAAAAAATGATCAAAAATAAAAGCAAAGTTTTCAGGATACCGAGACTGGCTAGAAACCATGTTGCTTGAAAGCAAAATCAATTAAAAAAAAAAAAAAAAAGCAAAATATAGAGAGTTACCTCTTCCACGACGGCCACCCACGTGCGCTGGTATTCGTCGCGGTAGATACCCTCTTGGTGAACCCAGAGGTGATCGGGTGGAGCCCCCGCATCCTCTCCTGCCATTCTGGGCTTTGGGTTCCAATTCTAGCCCTGCTTTTCTCCACCTGAGCCTGTAGCACCCGCGCACAGGACACAGGTGTGACTTTTTGGGTTTGAATGAACTCACCAGTGAGCAAGGCGACCTGGTACTAGCAACCACCAACCAGAACTAAAACTCATATACGTCTACTTGCACAGCCTAAGTAGAACCGAGGCCACCTGAAGCTGCCTGTGGGACACTGAGTGACGCTCAGCAGAGCCTCAGGTAATGCAAACTGTTGACTGCAAAGCACGCAGCAACTCAGGAAGCCAGGCAGTGATCTTCCAATCTTTGCGTTCACAAAGCAGTATCGACAAAGTGTGGTCAGCGACAGTGTGTGTACAGGAGCGTGCCTGAGGGCACTTACATGGGCAAGAAAGCAGTATCACAACGGATGTGTGTGTGCCACACCCTCCAGGTAAAAGTCCTTCCCAAACAGCTCCATTTTTAAAAGACTGTGCAGGCTGGATTATGTGCATTGCTAAATTGAAATTAAAAGTTTGTTTTAAGGGGGCACCTGAGTGGCTCAGTCAGTTAAGCATCCGGCTTTGGCTCAGGTCATGATCTCAGGGTTTGTGAGTTCGAGCCCCGCGCCAGGCTCTGTGCTGACAGCTCAGAAGCCTGGAGCCTGCTTCACAATCTGTCTCCCTCTCTCTTTGACCCTGCCCCAGTCCAATCTGTCTCTCTCTCTCTTTGACCCTGCCCCAGTCCACTCTGTCTCTCTCCCTCTCTCTCAAAAAAAAAAAAAAAATTTTTTTTTAAAGTTTGTTTTAAGGACAAACGACCTATTAGGTTACTTAGAAAGGTTACTTATACCAGTTGGGCATTTCCAGAAGGGGGTTTTCATGTTAGCAAAAATATTTAAAGTAGCTTCATGGACTTCTACAGATACAAAAGACCTTGGGGGTCATGGTGATTTGGAATTGAGAGCAAATGATACTTATCCATCTACGTCCTTGTTTCGTTTTCATAATGCTTCAGGATGTCACAGGAGCCCATGTCTCCATAGAGGTGTGCGTTTAAATTCTGATTTTCCAAGTCAGAAGGCCAGAAAAACCCCTCTGCCCTCTGAGTGGTGTAAAGGAAGCAAAGCTGCTGGGCAAAGTCTTTCTGTCACACACACCAGGCTCTAACCCCATAAGGATTCTCTGCCCAGGCCCGGATCTCATTTCAGGGCCTCGCGATGACTTGACCTGCATTTTGCAGGAATGAGTTCTTTGTACCTGCCTCCTAGTGTCACGGCACAGTTTCACTGTATTTGTATCTCAGAGCACAGATACGGCATTGGGGGATCTGTCCCCACAAAACAAAGGCCTCCTATTCCCACTGGGTGGAATTTAGGTATAAGAGGAGCCACAGCACATCTCGAGACGTCGTTAAACCATTAAACTGAGATTGTCAAGAGCAAATGAGATGCCAGAACGCAGGATGCAGCAGTCCAGGAAAATGCCAGAATGAACTAACTGAGCTAAACCAAGCCCTCTTTTCAAGGACAACAATCTGATTTTTTTCCCTTAACACCATTAGCTCACCGTCCCTAAAAATAGAAAATATCTTTTATAGGAACGTATAGGAAACAATCTGATGTTAGTGGTTAATTCAATAGCCTCATGGTTGCTCCAGCCATTGTACCCTGAATGGAGGTGACTCTGAGCCCATTGTAAGCTCCTAAGGCTCTCTCTTCTCAAACTCACCTAAGGTGGAACCCCTTCCCTTTTGCCACATCCCAATTTCTCTCAGTGGCAACACCACCTCTCCTGATACTGCAGACTCAAAACCCATCAATCCGTTGCCTTGGACTTCTTGTTCAGTTGCTACATGCTGTCTGTCACCACTTCCAGCAAACACCACTACCACCGTATTGGAGACAGATTTCCCCCTAAACACTAGGCTCATTTGTAGCTCCAGATCCTTGCTCTTGCTTTGCGCTTGCCTAAAATGCTTCCACAGGCCATTTTGTGTATCTCAGTCCTATTGCGGCAGAGTGCACGTGCCTGCGTTCTCTCTGAAACCTCCTCGCCTCCTAGGACTACTGCAGCATCTACGTCTACGCTCTAACCCATATTTTGGCCTCCAATTTAAATTGCCTTGCACATTTGCTTTGCTTATTTCTTAAGTCCTATCTCCCTTCAAAGGCAATATTATAAGCTCTTTGATGAACAGGGATGCTACGGTAATGTGTACCCCAAGTCTCAAATATTAGTCAGTGTCCCTGTGAGTGGGGGCATAAGTATGCTGCCAGGGGAAACAAATAAAGACCTCATATGCACAAGTAGAGATTGATTCTGTAGGTGTATTATATAACTATATGTTTTTTGAAAGCCATTTTTTTTTTTCCATTTAGCAGATACAGTCATTCTGTCTCTCCTATTCCCAAGGGCTTTGGAAAAGAGAGATACAAACAAAAACCAAATAAGTACTAATGTCAAAATAAAGTATATTAATGTCTGGATTTCAAGTACAAAAGAAGTAAGTATGACCATTTAATAAAAAATAGAAACCAAGTGTTAAGGGTTTCAGTACCATCTCAAGTTCACAGACAGGTTCATTCACAGACAACCACCGATATACTGGCATTTAAATGTTTTGAATGAAAAGTAAAATCTTAGTGGTTACACTGACATTGAAACGGAATGATTCCAGTGGTGTAGAGGGCAAACAAATTGGAGATGATAGTCTGAGTTACTATGAATCACTACAAAGAGGCCCATGAGTCACTATAAAATATTTTCAGAAGAAAGGCGGTGTGATGTGCTGCTGTGACCTAAAGACCGACATGCTGGGCATCAGCAGCGTGAGCCCGGGAACAAACCCCAGCACATGACCCTGGACTTGTGTGTGGTACCACTTAGACACAGCGTGAAGGCCCAGTGAAAGGCAAGTGCAGTGGTCAAGGGACTGAGAAGCTGCCATGAGAGCACAAAGGACAACATCCTTACCAGAGCAGAGCAGAAGCTGAGTGGGAAAGCTTCAGATCAAGGAACACAAAAGCCCAGGTTGTAGGAATTATACACCGTTTCCCTAAATGTCATTCCTGGAACAGTTGTCCCTAACTGTTTCGTTGGTCAAAGAAGTTTGGGATTCTTACGGTTATAAAAGCTCTGGCAAGTTACACAGGAAAGCAACTATCTTTTGTTGACCATTTCCTGAATGTGTTTGACTAGAGAACATTTTTTTCTGTGCATGAAACTTGCTCACAAACTTCAGAACCCCTTGAACTAAGATGAATCTCTTAAATCCTCAAGATAAACTGAGGTACACAGTGCAATGTAATACACAGAACATAAGCTTGTTTCCCTCAACTCAAAGGAATACTGTCATGTGCAAATTCATTCAAAAAGTGCTTATATTAGCTTTATCATCTGTGAAGGCACGGATACAGATGGTCCCCATGGGGGTCACCCTACGGTCAGAGACCGTACTGGCCTAGACAGAGTTATTTCCTAGTAAGGGATTTCGTAAATTATGTTTCAAATGGATGATATATAACATAGGAGGGCTTTCTTAAGAAGAGTATAATTTACTTCAATTTTCAGGTGTTTGGAGCATTTTTAAGTATTAATTAGTTGAGGACATTTATTCTACTTGAAGTGAATTAATAAAGTGATTTAATTACAATGGGTGACGTTACTAAGAATGTGTTCGCTAGAGGCAGTCTGGCCACGGTATGAATCCTGATTTTGTCAGTTACTAGCTTTGTGACTTGAGGCACGTTAACCTCTCTAGTCTTCAGTGTTTTGAGGTGTCTAATGAGAAAAAAAGAACGTATTGATCATAATAGTCAGAACTTGTTGATCAGTTCTTACATGTTTTTTATATATTGAGTCTTTTATTCCCTGCACTTGAAGATGACGGAAGGAAGCCACGGAGAAGTTAGGTCACAACACAGCTAGGAAGTTGTAGGGTCTGATTCCACTTGGGGCAGTTTACATAGAAAGGTATATATCTGCTTAGTAGAGTGTCTAGCACATAAGTTTGCCATAAATTTTAAGTCTTTTTTTTTCTACTGCAATTGACGATTTAGAACTGTGAAATGCAGTGGCAAGCATTATATAAGTCAGAGAACATCATTGTCAAATTTGAGAGTAATTAAGAGCAGCAACAAAGAAAGGGTGTCTTTCGTCTTGAAGGTGTCTAAAGGCACTTTATAAAGTCAGAATATTCCACTGCTGAACATAATACTGAGAAGAATGGCCAACCTTGTCCTATCATAGCAGGGCGTACTTGCCGTGAACAGTAACTGGACATAACGTATGGTGTAAAGCTGATACTTAAGTGAAGATTTCGATGGGTCTAATATTATTGCACACTTGAAATTTTGCCCCATCTTCATTACTATCAGAATGAATCATGGACACAGGTGCCATGTGAACATTAAACCTTAGGTCAAGATGGAGGCTGGTGGCATATATGTGGCAGATAATCCCAGTGGATGCGGGCCCTGCCTGTGGTGGGGAGACTTGGGTTGGAACTGACTTCCGAGAAAAGAGCAAAGCATCAACACCCGTTCAAGTAGAACGTCGGAATGTTCCCTTTCCAGTGCTGCCATGTCCGCCTGGCTTCAACACTACACGGGGAACTGGAAAGCAGATCAAAGAAACACAAACACTGGTGGGCTGTGGAGGTGGCACGGCATATATTTCCCTTGGATTTAGAATGGTTCCTCATATCCACGTGTCGTTCCTAAGCTCGGGAGTGGAAAGATCTGTACTTTTACCCGTGGCACGTTTGCCATTCCTGAAAAGAAAAGGACTTTTACGTACAGTTTCACCATGACTGATATCATCAGGACAAGGAGAGCTGGGGACACTTGGCCTGTGGGTATGGGCTGCGATACGTCCGACCATCGGTGAAAGCTCACGGCCCCCATTCCCGTCCCTGTATCACACAAGCAGGTACCTAAAAGCCAAGCTTCAGAGTGATACTTTTTCAGATACAGTATAGCACTGTTTCTGGAAGAGGTTACTCACATGAATATAATGTTTCTTGGGCTACTTAATCCGCCTCAGGAGCCGGGAGGCTAAAACTTCCAGGTCCCCCGCCCTGGGCCACTCAAGGCAGGATCGGGACGTGAGCCTGGGGCGGGCCGAAGTCACCCGAACCGAAGTTAGGAGGCGAGGGCCGGCAACCGGAAGTGCTCCGGGGACAGTTGTACGAGATTCGGGGCCGTAACTTGGAAGCAAAGCGAAATAAAATAAAACCTGAACTGTCTTAGGACCCAATTTCAACCGAGCGTCCCCCGGGCTCAGGAGGCCGGCGCGCGCGGCGAGGCCGCCTTAAAGGGCTGTCCCCGGAGCGTGTAGGCCGCGTACGGCTCTCTTCGGCGGGCGGGCAAAATGGGCGCGGGCGCTCGACAGGCGCCGGCCCGGCCGCCGGGGCGCCGCTCACAGACCACGTCCGCCCGCGGCCCGCGAGCGCCGCCTCCCTGCCGACCCCGCCGCCCGGCCTGACGCCCCGACCGCGGCCGGCTACCGCCCTCCGCCCGACGGCCACGCCCGCCCCGACCGACGCGGGCGTCTCCCAGGTGCCGCCGGGCCGGCCCCGCCCGGCCCCCGCGCCCCGAGCCCCGCCTCCGCGCTCCCGCCTCGCGCCCCGCCCCGCCCCCACCGCCCCGCCCCGCCCGCGCTCCCCAAGCCCCGCCCCCGCGGAACCCGCGCGCCAGAGCACCCGGTTGGCCAGGCCCGACTGGGCCCGAGGCGGACGTGAGCGGGGCCGGACCAAGATGGCGGTGCAGGTGGTACAGGCGGTGCAGGCGGTTCATCTCGAGTCGGATGCTTTCCTGGTTTGTCTCAACCACGCTCTGAGCACAGAGAAGGAGGAGGTGATGGGGCTGTGCATAGGGGAGGTGAGTGGGTCAGTCAGTTCGGCTGGCCGGAACCCTGCTGAGCAGTCCCAATGTGGTCCCGGGGTGGGTGCCGGCAGCGCCCGGGGCCGCGGGGACTACAGGCACCCCTGACTGAGATCCTTGGAATGATCCTCCGGATGGTCCCACAGTAGGGACCCCGTTTCCCCTCTGTTTTCACGCTTCTTTACCCTCTCGCAAACCCCCTGCGATCTGCAGAAGCGTCCGGATGGGCCTTGGAGCTTCCCTTCTAGTCTGTGCTTTTCTTTACATCTGCACTTACCACCCCATTGACCAAAATCGCAAGTCAGGCCGTAAAGACATTACACCATAATGAGGACACCCGCGTACTAGGAAGCAGCCAACCACCATTAGGGCCCCTGCTCTCGCATCCAGTCTTCCTTCTGGAAAGCCTAACTGTATTCGAGAACCACAGAGAAAACGGTTGCACAGACGCAGAGGTTTCCGCGGGCTTAACTGACGTTGCACAGGGACCAAAGAGGAAATAGACCTTAGTTGTTTACAGTCCACAATAAGAACTCTCCAGTTTTTCACGCCAGCGTACAGAAACACATGACCTAATTTTCATATAATCTGCATCCATGTACATCAGACTAGTGTGATGTGATCAATAATGTTTTCTGCTTTCTCCCCACTCTAGTTGAATGATGACACAAGGTAAGACTATGTTTCTTTACTGATACCTTTTAACCTATATGTTATTCTTAACTGAAAATTACAAGTTTCGCAATATTGTATACGATTTCTGTTGCGACCAGTTTCACAATACTTTATACAATTTGTATTTTAACTTACATTAATAATCTGGAGCTCCCTTACCGATACACTTTAAATTTCACCCCAAGGCTGAATATGTCTTTCGACCTTACTTCCTAGGAGGAGTATTGTCAGTTGATAAACATATGACCTTATGTGAAAAATGTGGGTCTGGATACCAAGATCAAAAGTGAAACTATGAAGACTCTTATAAATATCATTTTGCTCACTGATATGGTGCTCCTGTGTTCTGTTGCCTTGATTGACATACTTTACATTCTCTGCCCCCTGAAGTGACAATGAAATACACATAATTTTCTTTGTAGCAGACAATATGCAACGTTAAAAGACATTTACCCCTATTAACCCATGCCTTCCTCTGGTCAGTGGCTTTCTGCCTCCCCCTGGAGCACCCTACAATGATCTGACAAATGCCCAGTAGCTTGAATGTGTCAGTTGGCAAAAGCTTTGGGTTACCTTTATTTGAATTTCAGACAGGAGCAGAGTATGTACTTCTCAAGCTCACCTCCTCAGTACCCAGGATTCTAGGAGTTTGGCTTCGTCAGTAAACATATACTTAGCCACTCTCCCTTTGTCTCTGATCAAGGTTTCATTGCAAAAACTGCTAATCCTGTTACTTTGTTTTAATACCTTTTTATATTACAAACCTCAGTTCCCCTTTTTTTTTCTAATTTATCCCCAAAAGGAATGACTCCAAATTTACATATACCGGAACTGAAATGCGCACAGTTCCTGAAAAGGTATGTGTGCTAGAATTTTGCATGATGGAAACTTGCCGTTGGGAAGGGATTCTGTCCTCACATGGATGATCTCAGCCACGGATTAATCTGGTTTGTGCAGGCCCACATTTTTGGCCGAGTAAAGTGTCCTCTCTAGTAAAATCACAGGAAGAGTGTACTCACTAGGAATGGAACTGATTTTCTATTCCCTGTAGCAGATTCAGATGAGTACGCGCACTCAGCTCTCCTCCTTGCTGTCATCTATCTGTCTGCTTTCTGGCCTTTCTCCCACCCTCCTCGAGACGTCTGGCTGGTTCACCACCTTAAGATCTGGTTCATATCACTGTTATCTCCTTATCCCAAGTCCATTGCTCATAATTCGTAGTCTACCTTGACTCCTCTGTTTGCAGTTCCACCTCGCCTTTTTCTGGCACGTTCTAGCTTTCATGATCTAGTATAATGCTTCTCAACCTAATTCTGATATAGGGCCATTTCATTGTTTTCCCAATATGTTGCAGACCAAGGCCTTTGAAAAATACAATAAAAATAAATTCTACCTTCCTATCAAGCACATGAGGGACATGATAAAAGCCATCAGGTGGTGACTCCATCTACTTATTACCCCTGGACCAAACGTCTCCTTACTTATCAAATGTCCTCTCTTCCAAGTCTTCAACCTTTTCCTGTCACCTGGCTTTTTCCTCTTACGATACAATTGCGCTTAAATTACTCCCATTTTCAGAAAGGAAAGAAAAAGAACTTTTCAATCCCATATTTTCCTGTAGTCACTACTCTTATATCCTTCTTTGAATAGCCGGACTTCTTAACAGGATAGACTACAATCATTATTATTTTTTTACCTTCTCCAGTCATACCCAGCAAGGACTGGTTTCCAGTTCTGTCTCTCCAGCCACCTCCCCATTGTTATATCAGATGATTATTTCTTGGTGCTTATCTTAGTCTTTCTTCTTGCAACTCTGAATTGTCACAGGGGTTTTGTTTCTTTTCTTGTGTCTCTCTATTCCACCCCCTCCCTCCCATTCATTATAGGGTTTTCTTTTTTTTTTTTTTTTAATGTTTTATTTATTTCTAGGAGAGAGAGAGAGAGAGACAGCGTGAGCAGGGGAGGGTCAGAGAGAGAGGGAGNGAGAGAGAGAGAGAGACAGCGTGAGCAGGGGAGGGTCAGAGAGAGAGGGAGTCACAGACTGAAACAGGCTCCAGGCTCTGAGCTGGCAGTCCGCACAGAGCCCGACGCGGGGCTCGAACCCATGAACCGCGAGATCAGGACCTAAGCGAAAGTCGGACGCTTAACCGACTAAGCCACCCAGGCGCCCCTCATTATAGGGTTTTCATCCTCTGCATTAAATATGCCTTGCTCTCGTTGTCTTCCCAGATTGGCTTCCGGGCAATGTTACCTTCCCTATGACTTTAGCTGCAACATTGAGCTTACACAGATCTGTCTTTAAAGCCTTCCTCGGATACTCACTGTGTGAATTTGCGCATGTTATTTAACATCTGTGAGCTTTTATTTATTTACACTTCAAGTGTTTATTTAAATTCCAGTTGACAAATAGTGTCATATTAGTTTCAGGAGTAGGATTTAGTGATTCATCACTTACAAACCACACCCAGTGCTCATGACAAGTGCTCTCCATAATGGTCATCCCCCATCTAGCCCCTCTCCTTGCCCGCCTCCTCTCCAGCAACCCTCACTTTGTTTTATGTAGTTCAGAGTCTGTTTTGTGGTTTGCCTCTCTTTTTCCCCCTCCCTATGTTCTCTGTTTCATGTCTTAAATTCCAAATGACTGAAATCAAATGATACTTGTCTTTCTCTGACTGACTTATTTCGCTTAGCATCATACACTCCAGTTCCATCCACATCATTGCAAATGCCAAGATTCCATTCCTTTTGATGGCTGAGTAATATTCCGTCGTGTGTATCATATCTTCTTTATCCACTCATCAGTTGATGGACATTTGGGCTCTTTCCATAATTTGGCTATTGTTGATAGTGCTGCTATACACACAGGGATGCATGTATCACTGGGGGAGTTATTAAGTTAATAAATGGAAAGCACTTTTCCAAGTGCCCAACACGTGGAAACATTGTGCCATTCTGCCTACTGTTGTTAATATCCAGTCCTAGTTCATGTCAATTATCCCAGGCTCCGTAATTCATACCCTACTGCTTAGTTCAAGTTTAGGTTGACACAGACATCTTAAATTAATATGTTCAAAACCGAAACTTTCCTCTTCCTCAAGCCTGTTCCTCCAACATTCCTCCCACCACAGTAGTTTCCAAGCCTGGGGGCACCTTGGAATTACCCAGTAGTCTTTACAAAATCCTGATGCCAACTCCTTTAGACTGGGGTGAGACCTAGGCATTAAGCATTCAGGGCCTTCTTGATCTCATTTCTGTTTCTCTCCAAGCTCTAACGTTGGTAAATTACGGAAGTTTCCAGATTACACTGTACTGCTTCCCTCCTTGTATCTGCTGAGTACCATGCTCGGACTGCTTCCCTCTCCTTATGCCTTGCAGTGCCGCCTGTGTCCTGTAAGGAACCTGCCCCGGCCTGTAGGCTAGGTTCGAGGGCCTCCTCTGTGCTACGCTGGCTCCTTGAGCATAGCTACCAATCACTGACTGGCTCACCTGTCTGTCTTCCCGGACATGACTACTGTTTCCTCTTTGTGTATGTAGGCCCTCTTGCATCGCCTCACATAGAAGTATGTTCTCAGTAATCTACGTGGTATGAATGAAGACACATTCCCTACAATAGGAAATTAATGTTTCCCTGCCTCTGAGCCCTGGAGAGGCATGCCAGGGGGCACAAATCCCTGTGAAGGGCCAGATGGTAAATATTTTTAGCTTTGCAGGTCACACATTCTGTGTTGCAGTTACTCACCCTGCCACCGTAGTGCACAAGCGGCTACAACACGTAGATGGATGAATGTGGCCAGATTTTGCCCAAGGAAGGCCGGGCCCGCCATGTGCTACTGGCCTTTGTTCTATGCTGAGAATAGAGGAGCAGAAGGAACTGACTGTTAGTACTTTGATTTTGAGACTGAAAAGGTGTAGGGGCCAATCTAGCCAACCTAGAATATCTTACTTCTTATGTGACTGTGACCGTAGCAGGCTTCCTCGGGCCCTACAGCTACCTGTGGCTTTCAGGGACCTCTGTCAGTCCTCAGTGGCCTTTATTTATGCTTCATTTGTTTTTCATCTGTTCCTGGGCTGGTCTTGCCCAGGTCTCTACCCTGAACTTCATTTGCCCATTCCTCTAGGCACTGAAACCTTCTCAGCTGAGGGAGAGACACAAAAGTCACTCTGGGCATCAACTACTAGTAAAATACACTCCCAATCTTAATGGTGTAATTTTATTTTTCAAGAGCCCATGCCCTCATCTAGAATTCTGTGATGATTTGTACTGGCCAAAGAGATGTTAAACTTCATGATTTCAGTGACCTTATCTTTATAGTAGATGTTGCCACGGCGTATCTTTTTCCATTCTTTTATTTTTGGCCTTTTTGTATACTGATATTTAAAGTCTGTTTCTTGGGGCACCTGGCTGGCTCAGTTGGTTAAGCGGCCGACTTCAGCTCAGGTCATGGTTTTGCGGTCCGTGAGTTTGAGCCCTGTGTCGGGCTCTGTGCTGACAGCTCAGAGCCTGGAGCCTGTTTCAGATTCTGTGTCTCCCTCTCTCTGCCCCTCCTCCACTTGTGCTCTGTCTCTCTCTCTCTCAACAATAAATAAACATTAAAAAATTTTTAAAGTGTGTTTCTTATTAGTAGCATATAGTTGCTAAAAAATCCAGTCTGATAATCTTTTTACTTGGAGTATTTAGTCCACTGAAATTTAAAGTAATTATTGATATATGTGGGTTATGGCTTGATCTTTCTGCTTTCTGTGTGACTGAATTGCTTGGGTTTTTTTTCCCTCTTCTTTCTTACCTTCTTTTGAATTAATCCAATATGCTTTATTATCCCACTTTAATCTTCCAGTTTTACTCTCTTTTTAGTGGTTATCCTATGTATTTTCAATATGAATTCTTGATTTGTTAATCTAATACAAAGTACTATTTTTACCATTTTCTGGGTAATCCTAAAACCCTAGAGCACTTTAATTACATTTATATTCTCCCATCTTTTGAATTAGCATTGTCCCACAGTTTAAAAAAGAATTTTAATGTTTTATTTCTGAAAGAGAGAGACAGCGTGAGCAGGGGAGGGTCAGAGAGAGAGGGAGACACAGAATCTGAAGCCGCTCCAGGCTCTGAGCTGTCAGCACAGAGCCCGACGTGGGGCTCGAACCCACGAACCATGAGATCATGACCTGAGCCGAAGTCGGACGCTCAACCAACTGAGCTGCCCGGGCGCCCCTGGTGTTGTCCCACGTTTTAATTCGATGGATATTTTAAGCCCCAGATGGCATTGTTATTACTGTTTTATGTTTGCTCACATATTTTACCTAAAGTGTTTTTCATTTCCTCCTTTGTATCTGAGATTTTCCTTCTCCCTGAAGAGGTCCCTTTAGTACTTCTGTGCTCATAGTGAGTTCTCTCATTTTTTTGCATCTGAAAATGTCTTTATTTTGCCTTCATTTTTTTCTGTTGAAAACTCGGCTGTTTGTCTTGTTGCTCCTCGGTGGGTCACGTGTCTTTCTGCCTCAAGTGTCTTTCTCTCTCTGCTTTTGATTTTTCTTTATTGTGCGCTCTCTGCCTGCCAGACCCTGTCCTGCTGACGGGGGTAAAAACATGACTCAAACATGTTCCTGGCCCTTCAGGAGCACAGCATGCCAGCAACTGTAGTGAGAGGTGTGTGTATTAAAGGGCAGCCGTATAGGAGGGGAGAATGACTCATTCTTTACAGGATGAGCCGGGAATTTAAAGGCTGTGAAAAGTTCCCTGGGTGGAAAAAGGCACAAAAGGCGACCACATGTGCCAAATGGCTGCTCCTTCAAGAAACCTCCTTTCCGATTGCACCCCTATCCCTGCAACATCTGTCAGTGCCACACCCGTCTTTTCCCGTGAGACTCTTGAGCCATTTCATTCTTCTTGTTTGCACTCCTCTGTCTTCCTTCTTGGCTCCTCTTAGTCTACTCCACCCTAAACACGGGTACCCCCCCCCCCCGCTTAATTCAGGTGTGGACCTCGCTCCCTCTGCCAGCACTGTTCCTTGTCTTTTTTTACATCCTCTCATCCTAGATCAGCTTATCTTCCTTCCTTCCTTCATGATCCTTTCTAAACTTAGATCTGTTTTCTGTGTTCCACTGAGTTTTCAACCTTAACATTTTAGAGTTGTCCTTGACAATTCCTGTTCCTCTATCAACCGTGGACCATTAGCTACCAAATCTTGTGGATTCTTCCTTCTTAATGAAGCTCAAATCTGTTCCTTCCAGCTCTGCTATCTACTTAGCCCAGTATTTTATCATTATCCCACCTCCAGGCTCTTGGAAACAATATTCTTCCAGTTATTCCTGCAGATCATGGTATCCGAGGCCCTGTACAATTTACTCTAACTTTCCTTAGCCTTACTGTCTACCATTCCACTTCAAGTTCTCTATTTAAACTAGTTGGCCAACTTGTCTCCCAAACATCTCACTCATATACATTTGGCATCTAGAGAAGTTCTGTACACACACACACACACACACACACGCATGCACGTGCGCGCGCGCGCGCACACACACACACACACACAGCACTCAGGAAATCGTACACTTGTCAGCCTATGAAGATTTTTTTCGAATATAAGTGATTCCTTTCCTCTGCTCCTGTTTTGATTTACTACTTTACTTACTTATAGTTTCTAGTATGATACTTGCTGCTTAACTAAACGGTTAGCATTTTGAATACTCGGATTGTCTGCACTCTGACTCATATCCTTTTCTGTGAGAGTAACTTGCACATCGTTGTCAATCAAATGATTGTTATTGGATCATTGAAAACGCTCTTCCTTCATCCAAATATTAGCCTTTATATCTTGTTTTGAAATGCATATATTGAGGTTGGATGTCTTTTATTTGTCATATTGTGTTACTCATGAGAAAAATGTCAGTTTTCTAAATGGAATTTTTAAACTGAGTATGTAATTCCATGCGATTGTATAATTGCAGGGAAACATGTTACTGCAGAGACAGAAGTAAACATTTCTATGGATTTTCCTCCAGGTTGACACCGTCAGAATTGTTCACATTCATTCTGTCATCATCTTGCGACGATCTGATAAGAGGAAGGATCGAGTGGAAATTTCTCCGGAGCAGCTGTCTGCGGCCTCAACGGAGGCAGAGATATCCTTACTGGTCAATAGGAAGCTTTTGTGCTCTCACGGGTGCTGGGACTTCCAGGCCAGGCTCTTCTGTTTGCTGCCTTAGGAGATTTCACAGTTTCTTCTTGGTGACTCTTTCCCAGTTTGCATACTTACCTGTGAGAGCAAATTGTTTGCTTCATTAGAATTTCTTTCCATTTTTCCTTTCGAGTGGCTTTTATTGGAAAAATTAGAAATTTCTAACATTCCTGCTCTTAAAAGCCAGATGATCCCAGGGTCAAATGAACTCTGTGGGGCAGCTTCCCCCTCCTTCCTGTCATTCCCCCATTGCCCCTCCCCAGTCCACTCTGCCCACCGCCCCCCACCCCAAGTTTTCCTAATATGATTTAATTTCTAGGCTCTTGACTATCTTAGTCTCTATTCATTGAGGTTGAGGCTGCCTCTCAAAAAACATGCATTGCTGAAAACTGAATGCAATATTCCATGCTAAATATAACCAAAAAAATGATCAAATGGGACATTTGCTTCCTGTCATCAGAACTCTATACCTCAGCTATAGCAACTTAAATTTGCATCAACGCTTTTAGTAATCATTGTTTTTTTTTGAATTAAGTTTATCTTGTCAATTAAAAAGTAACTTTTAAAAATAGGTGGTTCACACGAATAGTACAAACTTTCAAAGGTACAAAAACATGTGAAAAGTAAATATTTCCCTCCAACATCTATGCCCCGGTGCCCTCACAGCCTGTTCCTGGACATAACCAGGGTTATCAGGTTTTCATGTATACTCACAGATGAATTCTGAGCATACAGAAACATATGTGAATATTTTTTAAAAAGTTGTTTAATGTGTACATATAATATATATGGTATAATAATCTAATGATAGATAATGTATGATATATATGTAACTTATGACATTTCCTAACAACAGTGTATCTAGACAGTTGTTCACAGCGCTAGATAGAGATGCCGCATTCTGTTGTCTGCAGCTCATAGCTCCAGATGACTAGTCTGGCCTCAGAGTCTGTCCCTGGACATAACCAGGGTTATCAGGTTGTTTGTAACCTTCTGCTGGGCAGGAGCGTAACCTTGCACACACTGCATTTCACAAAGGCGTGCACGTACCTGTATGATGGAGCCCTAGAGGGTTTCCCCTCCAGCAGTGTGCGAGCCTGTAGCCTGCACCTTCACAGACGCTGCGGATTATCATGGCTTTCTGTTTTTGTGCGACCAGGTCATGGTAGATCAAAGCTATTGATTGTTGCCAGTCTGACTGGCAAAAAATGGTATCTTCTTGCAATTTTAATTAGCATTTTTCTTATTCTGAGTAAATGTGATCAGCTTTTAATTTGTAGGATTCATTTGTGTTTCTCTCTATAGTACTTGGTTGTTTCCTTTGCCCATCTTTCTAATGCTTTGGCAATCTTTTCCTTAGTAATTTATAGGCACTCTGTGTTAAAGAAATTAGCCCTTTGTGATAAGGATACTGATTTTTCTCAGCTTATTCATGATGTGTGTTTATTTCTCCAGTCAAATTGTTTTTGCATTTTTATAGACTCAGATTTATCAACCTCTCATGGCATGTACCTTTTGCATATTTTTAAACTCTTTATTTTGAAATAATTATACATTCACGGTAACTTGCAAAAATAGTATATAAAGGTCTTTGTGCCCTTCACCTGGTTTCCTCCAAATGCTACATCTTAAATAATTCACAATACAACATGGAAACCAGACAACTGACATGGATACAATGGGTGTCATTCTATGCCATTTTGTCACATGTGTAAATATATGTGAGCACCACAGCATTCAAGATGCAGAATTGTTCCCTGTGTATAAGTCACACCCGCTCCCAATCCTGGCAGCCACTAATCTGTTCTCCATCTCCCAGAACATAAGTGTATAAAAAGTGTTTATAATTGTGGTTATATATTATAACTTTGAAATGAAACTAGTCTACTCCGAAGATGGGGGGATGACTGGATACCCTGTTGCATGTTACTGCATGCAGCCATTACAATGTAACTACAGTGCAATTGATATTACAGTGACTGTTAAGAATTTACTGAACATCTTGCCTGGATTACCTTATCTGCTCTTCACTGCTGTTGGAGGTGGAATTCCCCCAATGTGCAGCTGAAAAAATGGGTTTAGAGAAGTTACCCAACCTCTTTTTGCATCTAAAACTAAAAAATATACATATTTAAAAAGTATCCTTTCTCAGATTTTGTTGTATAGAAAGGAGCATTTTGTTTTAATGTAAGTAATTTGCATGAAAACAAATCGGCATTTTGTAAGATAGTATTTCCAAGTTGAGTTCTTATGTCAAATTAGAGCGTCAAATAGACTTAATGGGAAGTTTTAGTCTCTAGCACAAAGGAGGAAAATATTGGTTTGGGGTATATTTCTTGACACATGAGGAGACCAAAGTAGGGGTCTTTGTTCGTTTGGTCTCTGACACCACCCTAATTGCTATTGTTGACACTGGCAGCCTGCCAGAGAGAAATCAAATGAAGTTTTAAAATCTTGTGTTTCTTTTTCAAAAATGTGAGTATGATGGAGCTGGAGAGAGGATAGAAGATTTACTCAAATTGATAATGTGAGGTCCAAAGATTTAGATAAGCTACTTTGCAGATAGTGCAGTGATAAGTATTTGAGTGATCAAACTTTAGTAAATTCGAGTAAGAGGATGTAACTGTATACAGTAATGGAAGCCAAATGTAATCTAGTTTTATTTTTTTTTATTTATATATTTTTTAAGTTTATTTATTTTGGGAGAGAGAGCACATGCACTGGAACTTGGGAGGGACACAGGGAAGGAGAGAGAGAATCCCAAGCAGGTTCCACACTGTCAGCAAGATCACGACCTGAACCCAAATCAGGAGTCAGACACTTAACTGACTGAGCCACCCAGGTGTTCCTTATTTATTTGTTTGCTTATTTTTTTTTTAATTTTTTAATGTTTTATTTATTTCTAGGAGAGAGAGAGAGAGAGACAGCGCGAGCAGGGGAGGGTCAGAGAGAGAGGGGGTCACAGACTCTGAAACAGGCTCCAGGCTCTGAGCTGGCGGTCAGCACAGAGCCCGACGCGGGGCTCGAACCCACGAACCGCGAGATCATGACCGAAGCGAAAGTCGGACGCTTAACCGACTAAGCCACCCAGGCGCCCCTTGTTTGCTTATTTTTTAAATTTATAAACATTGTTTAATGTTTATTTTTGAGAGACAGAGAGAGACAGCATGAGCAGGGGACGGTCAGAGAGAGAGGGAGACACAGAATCTGAAGAAAAGTTCCAGACTCTGAGCTAGCTGTCAGCTCAGAGCCTGACACAGGGCTCGAACCCACGAACTGTAAGGTCATGACCTGAGTCAAAGTTGGACACTCAACCGACTGAGCCACCCAGGCGCCCCGAGACACAGAATCTAAAGTTGAGCTGTCAGCACAGAGCCCAACGCGGGGCTCGAACTCACAGACCACGAGATCATGACTGGAGCTGAAGTTGGACGCTCAACTGATTGAGACACCCAGGCTCTCCTTTGTTTACTTACTTTTAAAGTAATCTCTACACTTGACATGGGGCTTGAACTCACAACCTGAGATCAAGAGTTTGTGTGCTCTAGGGACTGAGCCAGTCAGGTGTGCCAAATTGATTCTATTTATTTTTATGTCTTTATTTTATTTTGAGAGAGAGAGACAGAGTGTGAGCGGCAGGGGAGGGGCAGGGGGAGAGGGAGACGCAGAATCTGAAGCAGGCTCCAGGCTCTGAGCTGTCAGCACAGAGCCCGTTGGGGGGCTCGAACCCACGGACTGTGAGATCATGACCTGAGCCGAAGTTGGACGCCTAACCGACTGAGCCACCCAGGCACTCCAAATTGATTCTGTTTTTAAAGTTTATTTATTTATTTTCGAGAGATGGAGAGGTAGGATGTCGGGGAGGGGTAGAGACAGGGAGAGAGAGAGAATCCCAAGCAGGCTCCACACTGTCAGTGCAGAGCTCAATGCAGAGCTTGAACTCAAACTGTGAGACCATGACCTGAGCCAAAATCAAGAGTTGGACGCTTAACTAACTGAACTTCCTAGGTGCCCCAATTCGATTTCTTTAAGTTTATTTTTTTATTTTTGAGTGAGAGAGCAGGAGGGGCAGAGGGGGAGGGGATAGAGAATGCCAAGCAGGCTCCACACTGTCAGTGCAGAGCCCAACACAGGGCTCAAACTCACAAACTGTGAGATCATGACTTGAGCTGAAATCAAGAGTCAGACACTCAACCAACTGAGCCAGCCAGCTGTCCCCTGATTCTATTTTTAAAACGAAATACCTTTGACTTTAAATGGGAAGTCTGGGAAATTCTGGGCATTACCTTATTTCATTTTTTTATTGATATTAAATTGGAATAGGTTTATTTTAAACTTCAGAATGCTTTCTGAGCCCATAAGCATCACAGGTTTTGCTCCAAGTTGAAAATACCTTGACAGACACACAGGTTGGCTGAACTAACAGGTCGCCCCATGAGAGTTGTGGGCTGGTATCATTCCCATCCTCATATAACTGTTTGGCCTTCGCATGTGGGTAAGTATTATGGGCTTGCAATGTTTATTGTTTCTAACAATCAGGATCATCTTTCCTTCTCCGTTACATGAACTATAGTTTTTTTTTTTTAAATTTTTAATGTTTTATTTATATCTGAGAGAGAGAGAGACAGCGTGAGCAGGGGAGGGTCAGAGAGACAGGGAGATACAGCATCCGAAATAGGCTCCAGGCTCTGAGCTGTCAGCACAGAGCCCGACGCGGGGCTCGAACCCACAAACCGTGAGATCATGACCTGAGCCGAAGTCGGACACTTAACCCACTGAGCCAGTCAGGCACCCCAGAACTATAGTTATTTTAAACCATACATTAATTCTCCTTAAACAGCTGCTATTGCCCATGACCCTGGGATCATGACCTGAGCCCAAATCAAGAGTCGGATGCTCAACTGACTGAGCCACCCAGGCGCCCTGTCCACCCAGACGCCTGTCGTATTATTTTAAATAGAGATAAAATTTCATTACTCCATTTTGACTATATTCTGAAAACTACAACTAAGTAAAATCTGACAGTTGGCTGATATCTCAAAAGAATTTAAATTGTTACTGAAAATTGCTGACTGCTAAATCCTACTGTCCAGTACCCTCCAAATCAGAAGACAAAGGTGTGGGGGGTGAAATTTACAAAATTGAAGTTTAACACATTCCGTCCTAGCTGTTGGGTCTCTCAACCAACCTCCTCATCCCTCTGATCAGTATAATGTAACAAAATTGTTTTCCCTTTTTTTTAACTGCTTTTCCTGAATCATGGTCATTGTTGCCCTCTACCTGACTCTCTTTTTAACTTTTATTTATTTATTTTGAGGTGGGGGGAGGGAGAGGCACAGAGAGAGAGAGAATCCCCAGCAGGCTCCATGCTGTCAGATCAGAGCCTGACACGGGGCTCGATCCCACAAACCGTTAGATCCTGACCTGAGCCAAAATCAAGAGCCGGGCAATTAACCGACTGAGCCACCCAGGTGCCTCAAAGGTTGTTTTTATAGCTGCAAATGTAGTTCTGTAAAACCTCAATATCACTGAATAAATTCAGTGTTTGATTTTATCTAACTTCTACTCAAAAATAATCGCTGTCGTTTTCCTGCCACCATTCACACTAAAATCAGATTTGCCTCTAATTTCTCCCATGGTAGTACCATCAGCCAGAAAGGAATTAAGTGCCAACCGTTAATGAAGGAAAGGTTGGAGAGTATATATTCCTCAACAGTATTGTCGCTATGGTAATAAGTTAGAATGGAAATTTTTCTGGTAAAAAAAGAAACTCTAAGTGCTTAGGAAAAAAGGTATTCAGAATTCAGACAGTGATTGAGCCCACCCCCCCACCCCCTAGGGGCAGCAGATCCAAGCAGTGAGAGCAGTAGGGCATGTACCGCACAATGTAACTGAACAAAAAATCAGCTCCAAATAGTGAAAATGATTAAGGAGCCAAATGAAAATAATTCAACACAAAATAAATTTGGAGATTAGAGCCCTGAGATCTTATCTTGAAAAAAATAATACCTAACTGGGTAAGCAAAAGGAATAAATAACAAAATGGAATAAAGGCTATGTTCAAAGATGCTTTTAAGAGTTAATTTGTTTTTAAACCTCAGCTCGAAAGGTCAGAGAATTACCTCAGCAGGAGAGTTGGAACACCAGCTTCAGATTTCATTACGGAACAGGTCTGTTAGACTCTCATTGCAGTCACTTACTAGTTGAAAAGATCTCTTAATTTCCCTGTGCCACAGTTTCGTCACTGCAGAAAAGGGGAACGTGTTATCAGAGCAGTATGTGAAATCATGTATAAGGCATTCTGTCTTATGCTCAGCACAATAGCAAAGATAGATACCAAAGCACTTCTCCGTAAAACTCAGTGTGCACAGAGCATGAGTCAATACTTAAAGTTGAATGGCAGACAGCATTGGAAGGATTAACAAGAATAATGAGATCACAAAACTATAAGAAAACTAAAGAAAAATAAGAAATCGTCTCCCAACTAATCTGGTGTTTACAATGACTGGATTGTTGTGGAATTCCAGAGCCTAAGGAATTTGTAGATACAAAGATGTATAGGTCATCTCCCAATGGTTGTTCAAAAATTAAGTCAAAACAGGTGCCCTGTGTTAGCAAGTCTTGGAAAAAAATGAGTGATGATTTAAAGTTTAGTGGGAAAAATCATACAAGCTGCATTCAAGAATGACAAGTAAGAAGGAGTGAAAATGTTTTTTCATTAAGAGGTAGGGAGAAGGATGTGACAATGGTGTGTGTGTGTGTTTGTGTGTGTGTGTGTGTGTGTGTGAAGAATTTTAATGTTTTTTATGATAAGGTAGGTAATATAATTAGTTTAAGTTCCAGTAGGCTTAATAAGAGTGTGTTCTAAACATATTTTAGAATGGTTATTACATAAATGATTATTCAACAAATTTATAGGATACCTGTACGGAACAATATAGTGGCAGTTTCTGCTGGCTTGGACCTTTATTTTGAGAGAGACAATGTAGGAAAGGAGCAGACAGAGAGAGTCCTAAGCAGGCTCTGAGCCATCAGCGCACAACCTGACGCGGGGCTCAGTCTCACAAACCATGAGATCATGACCTGAACTGAAGTTGGATGCTTAACTGACTGAGCCCCCAAGGCACGCCAGTACCTAATCTTTTGTATTCTTCATGAGAATTATCCCTGTAAGAATTTCCTCCATTATAGTTCTACACTTCCATTCTTTATTGTCAAGTCAGATACATTCACTTCCCTAGAGGATGCCCATCAAAAGGATTATTCCAGGAGACTTTGTCTTCTTCCCAGGCTTTCCTTTCTCTCTGAGTCCCCAGGAAGAGATTATCAAGTTTTGGGGGCTGATTGAAAAGTCATTAATCTACCTTCTCTTATTTAATCCCGGAGTACTCTTCGCTCACCTAGTGAAATGTTTACACTGTGACACTCGTATTGTCCTGAGGCTACACCTCTGTTCCGTCTATGGGATCTGAATCCCGGTAGGGCTGTGTGCTTCCATTATCTTTAAATCTTCATTTTTATGAGATACAGCTTATTGACAGCAGATTTTTATTTTTGTTTCTTTGCAGATGTTCGCACACAAGCTATGTACCAGATGATGGATCAAGGCTTTGTAGGACTTATTTTTTCCTGTTTCATAGAAGACAAAAACACAAAGGTATTGTGTGTGTGTGTGTGTGTGTGTGTGTGTGAACGTGTGTGTGTGTGTGTGTGTGTGAACGTGTGTGTGAACGTGTGTGTAGAAACACACACACAGAATAGAGAAAAATCTTTTTGCAATTTTAATAGGGTGGCCAGGGAAGGTTTCAATGAGAAGGGTCATTGAGTCAGGACCTGAAGAAAGTGAGGGAGCAAGTCTTGTGGATTTCTTGGGGGAAGAGCGTTCCAGGCAGAGGAAATAGCCAGTGCAAAGACCCTGAGGTGAGTGCGGCATGTTCAGGGGGCACCAAGGAAGTCAGTGTGACGGCAGCAGAGTGAGGAAGACCATGACCGTATGTCCCAGTTTTACCCCACAATCCTATTTCGTTCACTCCTTTCCTATACTTAGAAGTGTCCTGGTTTGGACAGTAACTCATTTGGTCATCCTGCAGTGAGGTCTGAAAGATAATGGGGCCACATCTTAAGAGGCCTGTGATTTGACTCTGAGTTGGAAAGCCACTAGGGGGTGACTTTGTGTTATAGCGGGATCTCTCTGGCTACTGTGTGGCTAGTAGACTGGCCGGTGGGTGGGAGCGGGTGCCCGGGGAGGGAGGGAGTGTGGAGTCCATGACACCCGTGAGACCAGTTAGGAAGATACTGCAGTAGTTGAGGCAAGAGGTGATGGAGGTTTGACCACGGTGGTTGGAGCAGAGGTAATGAAAAGGGGCCGGATTCTGCAAACATTTCGATGGCTAATAATAGTAGCAAGTGCTGCCATTTATTACCTGTTGTACGGTGCCTGCTTGTGAGGTGTTGTACATAAATGTGCTCTAACCTCGACAGCGGTCTATGACGACTATTATGATGCGTATGCATGTGCCAAATGCAGAGAAGCTCCGAGAAGCAGCTCAGTCAGTGGCTAGTCTCGCTAGTGTCTGTTTAGAGTGTTTCTTTTCAAATTTTAAGCCTGTAGGCTTGACCATGTATCAGTTCAAACAAAAAGAAAGTTACTATTTAATATTGTGGGAATGAATTTTGCCAAGACTATCAAATGTGTTCTGTCCTTTAGTATATTAGTTGCATTGTCAAAATCTATGTTAATAATGAATATTCTTCATAAAATCACTCTTTTCCAGAAACATTAAAGTATCTTAAACTTTATACTTCATATGAAGTAATTTTGGCTTTGTCGTCATAAATTTATTCTCATTATAAATGGTTGAATATGCTTGTCAGCTTCCAACAAAGCAGTTTGAATGCTCTAGTTCTCGGTTTCTTGGTTCTCATGTTTATAAGTACTTGTCTGCTGTCACATGAACGCACGTTGGATTGTGGCCGTCTCGTGTTGACTGAGTACACGATCCTGTACAGAAATTGATTGATGGCATATTCCGCCTTCGGAATGCCTTTTAACGTTCCACCTCCAGAGGGCCTCTGGATACCTATGCTTATGTAAGGATATAAGTTTTAGGTCTGAATCTACTAAATTGCTATACCTGTTTCAATATTAGTCCTTCTCTGTGTGATCTTTCTTTCTTTCTTTCTCCTCCGGTTTTTGTTTGTTTGTTTGTTTTTGCTTTTGTTTTTAGACTGGCCGGGTACTCTACACTTGCTTTCAATCCATACAGGCCCAAAAGAGCTCCGAGTAAGTATGACAAGCGTGTATGTATGTATTGGTGGGTTAATTTTCATTCCAGGGAATTGATTGTTTAACTTTATTTCTCTCACTAGGAAGACAATAATTCTGTAAGTCTACTTATACCCATTAACATCTCCGTAAGATGTAAGAATCTCTTTAGCACCTGGGATTTTAGGGATCTAGAATGCTAGGATCATTTAAACTGTTCATTGCAATGGCACCATAAAAGCCCTTTCCTGAAGTTATTCTAAAATGAGTTACTACATTCCTTCCTCTTGTGAATTGTAAGACAAAGACTGAGTATGCAAAGTATTATAGATTTCTTGTCCTTGCTGTGCCATACACTTGGTTTCAGACTTACAGTATCTTATTTAAATGTTTGCATAGGTTAGTTTCCTCAGTTAAATTCAATTCAACCTGAATTAGCAAATCTCAGTACAGTGTGTGCTATATGCCAAGCACCATGGTACACTCTGAGAATACAGAGATGGAAGCCAAGTTCACTATCTAATTGGGAGACAGAAGCAGACAGTCTTACATTTTTTTCTCATATTTGTCAATGTATTATTATAGCATTGTTTGAAATAGCAAAGAATTGGAAAAAATAGATGTTAAGTACGGAACCAATTAAATAAATTATGATGCATCGAAATAATGGAATAATATGAAGCCATTAAAGAATATGAGGAAAGTCAATATTAATACAGAAATATCTGTTATATATATTGTCAAAAAAAAAGATAAGGTAGAAGAATAGTATGGAGAGCCTGCCACCATGTGTATAAAGATATGGAAGAGAAGTATGCACACAAACATACCAGCGCACTTGCTTGTAAATACATCAAATAAATATCTGGAAGGAAACACGTCAGTCACCTCAGCAGAGAGGAAATGGGAATGAGGGACACTTCATTGGACCTTTCACGTAGCTGTGGAATATAAAATCATACAGAAATATTAATCAAGAAACTTTAAAATTTTTCATTAAAGTAATAGATGCAAATGCATAAAAACATCACATGGTACAGAAGAACCTAGTCTCCCTCCTCAGAAGGAACCACTTTCTCCTATTTTGTTTTTGGTATTGATGTTTGTTTTCATATCTCTAAATAATATACTTTTCATACTCTTTCTTGATGTATTACTAGTAGACATTATCTATTCTTATTAAGTTATCTTGTGCTCACAGGGAGGATTTAGCTCACTTGCTCTTCTGTTGGTTACTTTTCTAATCGTAAAGTTTGTCCCTTTATTCTGTCAACAACAGACAATAGACAATATATTTTGGCTCCCTACTGTTACTTGTAGTTTTTACCATAAACCTTTATATTTTCACACTTGCACATATTTGTGTTCTGTGTTGTAACCATAATTGCATTTTCTGTGCTTTCTCTACTAGTGGACTCTAAGAGAATAAAATAAAGGGTCTATTTATTATGATTACGTAACGATTCTTCCATGTACAACCAAGCGGTGCAAAGTAGTATGATTCTGTTGCCTTTCTTGTATAGCCTTTGGCTTTTTCATGGAATTTTTGAGTGGCTTCTCTCTCCTAATTTTTCTGCCTTTATCACCTCACTGAGTTCCAGATTGTTAGAAGTTATATAAAAATCTTTGGAATCTCTACTTCAGGGAGTGAAGCCCTCCATCATCCTACCTTAGTCAGGGCCCATCCTGGGACTTTTGTTCATTATTCTCCTTGGTTAGATCCATTGTTGTCTGGATTTCGTGTCATCTTTCTTGGTTCACTCTTTCTAAGAAGGGTATGTGTTTGAGTCCTTTACCAATGTGATGCTTGTTCTTTTACAGGTGACTTTTTTTTTTGTTTTGTTTTCTCTGATAGCTTTTAGGAACTTCTGTATTCTTGATGTTGTGGAATTTTCTGTGATATATCCAGAGTGGGGATATTCTATGATTCAAACTGCTAGACACTGTCAGTCTGACAACACTTGTGTCACAGAAAATTCCACAACATCACGTGTCTCCCCAGATAGAGCAATCCCTATGCACCCAGTTCCTGGGAGGAGAAAATATTTATAATTCAATCCCATCCCACAATTTAAATTTTCTTCAAATGTAAATTGGTCTTTGGGGAATAATTTCTCATTCTTTCTGTTAGTTTCCTTTCTCTCCAGTTTGACTCTAGATACCATTGAAGTATTGGGAAGATGAAGTAAACGAACTTATGCTGTAGGGAAAGGAGACTTCCTGGTCTCGTGCTGGTTTTGGGAACCAAGGCAAGAGTCCTTCCATTCATGGCTACTGCTCACCTTCATTTACCCAATGCGCCTCCTCTCTCATGGGCCTGCAGCCCCAACATAAGGAGATACCTTAACAGCCTCCTCTCCTATGACTTCCTCTCTCGCCCCATAGGTTAATAGGACAGATGTGTCATATCCTTTTCTCTGTTCTTTGATAATGCCTTCCCCTGTTTTCCCTTTCTCTTTCTAGAGCTCCTATTAGTCAGATATTAAGTTTCCTCTATTGTCAAAAGAACTCTTTTGACTCCTATTTTCTGCCTCTTTTTTCATTGTTCTAATTTCTCAGGTATATTTGCGATTTTATTTTCCAACCCTTTCATTTTATCAATTTAATATTTTTAACTTCTAAGAGATTTTTCCTTATTTAGTGGATATTTCTATTTCTATTCTTACTTTATTGATATAATATTGAAGTGTTAAGTTTTCTTCTGTTTTTTTTCCAGTTTTTTCTGTTTCTTATTTTTTATTATACTCTATAAACATTTTATGATTTATATTTTTAAATCTTTATTTTCATCCTCTTTTAATAATGAGGCAGCACAACATGAGAGATAGCTCATTATCTGTGGCCTTAGCTTGTCAACAGGAGGCTTCATTTTAGGGTGAGTGGGTTGAGAGCCAGCCATTTTTCTGGGGGATCGCTCAGTGTTAGATTTCCGGTATCTTGCTCTGGGATACCAATCCTGACAATTGCTGTGATCACAGTTTATTCCATTAGTTAGGAGAACTCTTGCTGCTAATGATGAGGATGATGATGGTGATGATGATTTTGGCTTAAGAATGGAAGCCTGCTTACTAGATATTTTGTGTATACTGAGTCCCAAATGTGGAAGAGCACGAAAGGGGAATAACTAGAGTCCCAAATTTCTGTCAGGAAGACCAAAAGGGCTGTAGTCTCCAGGAACTTACACAAAGGTAGGAGTGTGTTAAAGCCAACGTCATAATGTTGTCTCTACATTTCTGGGCCCACTTGTGAGCCATGTGTGCATGGACCTGATCCTAATTAGCATAAATGAAAACTGGATGAACTGGTAGACACCGCACAGGTCCCATACTAACCACTGGGTGGCAAACATGCAGGAAATATTAGAAAGGCTCTGAAAGCTGAACTGACATTGGAACCACAGCCCACTGTGGAAATTTCAACCGGAACTTAATTAGGCAGATGGCCTACGAAAACAAAAGCAACATTCTCTGTAGACTATAAACAAGATCCAGTGTATCACTTAAAAAATATTCAGAATCACTTGGCATGTGAAGAACCACAAGTGTCAACTTGCATGGAAAACAGTGATCAGCAGATGTCAACACTGAGATAACAGTGATGTAGGAATGATCTGATAAAAGCTTTAAAGCAACTATTATAAAAATGTTTTTAAAAATCACAAATATCTCCTGCAACAAATGTTTAAATAGAAAGTCTCAGCAAACAAATGCAAGACCGAAAGAAGCAAGTGCAAACTTTAGAACTGAAAAATACAAGACTCACTGGATGCACTTGATAGCAGAATGGAGATGACAGAGGAAAGAGTAAAATTGACGATAGATTAATAGAAATGATCCAATCTGAATAGAAGAAAAAGATATTGACTAAAAAGTTGAATAAAGACAGTGATATCAACAAAAATGGCAGAGTAGGAAACGTCATGTTTTCCACAAAAGCAGCAAATAATCTGGCAAAAACTGTCAAAATCATCTTTTATTGGAACTGTAAAAACTAATCAAAACTTTATAGCAATCAGGCAAATGCTTAAGGAAAAATATCACAATCTCACATTTAAGGAAATCTCTGTTGAGTCACTCAATGTCCACTAAGCTAACAGGACAGAAATCTCAGTGGCTACACATAACAAAGAAAGATCATGTAAAATTAGTTCAAGAAGTAGCTTAAAGTTATTAAACACACAAAATTAGATAAATCGAGTAGCAACAATAAACCCTGGGGAGGGGGCAGAATCTGATTTCCACAGTTACCACATTATAATATCCGGTTTTAACAATAAAAAAGGCATTCAAAGAAACAAATTTGGGGCCATAAACAGGAAAAAGGAATTAATAAAAACATTCCTGGAGGAAACCCAGACATTAGCCTTACTAGACAAAGACTTTTAATCGCCTGTTTCAAATATCCTCAAAGGACACTTGTGGGGATGAGCACTGAGTGTTATGTGGAAACTAATTTGACAATAAACTATTTGTAAAAAAATAAATAAATAAAATAAAATAAAATATCCTCAAAAAGCTAAAAGGAAACTATGTACAAAGAACTAAAGAAAACCATGAGAATGTCAGAGGATGTCAAACAGAATATCAATGAAGAGATAAATTATAAAAAGGAACCAAACAGGGATTCCATAATGAGAAGTACAATAACTGAAATGAAAAATTCAGTAGAGAGGTTCAATAGCAGATTTGAGAAAATAAAAGAAAATCGATTGAGATTGCTGTCTGAGGAGCAGAGAATAAAAACAATGAAGAACATTAAACAGAGCCTAAGAGACCCATGGAGCACCTTAAAACATTATTAATATACTCAAATAGGAGTCTCAGTACAAGATGAGAGAAAGGAGCAGAAAATATACATGAAGGAATAATGGTCAATACCTTCCAAACTTTAATGAAAAGCATGAATCTACACACTTAAGAGTCTCAAAGGACTCCAAGCAGGAACATCTCAAGGAGATTGACATTGAGACATATTATAATCAAAGTGTTGGAAGCCAACGGCAAAGAGAATCTGGAAAA